TTCTGCGGCAGCAAATGGAAGACAACATTTCGAAGAAATTCTTTGAAGGCTTGCTCCCCAGTGCCAGAACCCAAAGTGAAAGGGAAAGGAAACGATACCGTGTACGTTACTTTAGTCACTAACCATACCTACAATCCAGCGGGAGTCAGCACATTCTTGAGCGACTTTTCCCAAACAGAGGTCAGTATTGTATGTTTATTTCCAAGCATGTTTGAAAACTTTCGATTTTTCATAATTCATTTCAGATTCAACAATATTCTGCGTCGGTTGGAAACTTTTCAGATCTAAACTGTACCAACACGGACGGCTATTTCACCTGGACTTTCAAACTTACGGATGCTAATTGCTCTATTGTACTCATTAAGACTTGTTCCCTACAGCCTTTTTTGGGTTCTGTAGACGACAGTAGTCAGCTGTTGCTCATTTACACAAAATAATGACCATTTTTTAAGGTGAAGGCGTGGGTAAAGCAAATCGTGGCGAGCTCGTCGTTCTACAAAAACGGATATGCTTCATGCGGCGACACGGCGTACGTTACATTAGTCGTCAATGAAAACTACAAGTCAGCGGCAATAGGTGTTATGTCGAGCATGAACCAATCACAAGTCAGTACAGAGGTTCTTCTATAACATCTTTAGACACTTTCGATTTTTCAAAATTCATTTCAGAGTCCGGCAGACATTGCATATGCTGGATACTTATCAGATATTAGCCAAACCGAAGCGGAAGGCCATCTCGCCTACACTTTCACATATACGAATGCTAACTGCTCAAATGTATTGAGTCGTGTTCTTTACAGCTTTTTGGGCCAGTAGACCACAGTTGCCTGTTGTTTATTAACACAAAACAATGACCATTTTTAAGGTGGAGCATTCGGTTGCCCTGCTCGTAGATGGTGCTTCTGCTAATGAGGACTTCGTAAATGGAACCGTTACATGCGTCCATGCAGGAAACCGAACACTATGGGTAGTACCACCCCCACCATGGGCAACAACAACCACGAACGACAATTTGATTGAAATAACATCACCACCAACAACAACGACAACAGCAACACCATTAGTGATATATCCAGGAGGTGCTCTTCCAGCCGCACCGGTTTTTATACCATACCAGCCGGATTATGAAGAAACAGCAGAGCATGTAGAAGAGTCTGTGTCTTCATTCGAGAGCATGTCCATCACGAGCCTTTGATAATATTTTGCTAATAAATAATTCAGCAGAAACTGTTTATTACCAACGACAAGGTCAACTGCGTCTTAGTTGTTTTAGTAGCCTCGAAACAAATCGACATTGGCTATTTATACCAGAGCACACTTACACCATCACTGTTGAAGTCTAAAGCCTTTTGGTGTCTATTATTCCCGTCTGAGGATTGCTCTATCGCATTCGACTTCGATTCACAATCGAATGGCGAAAGCATATGTGGTCTATTCAACGAAATGCGGTTTCACACCGACAAACAATCAATGTTTTTTCCTCCCGGACGAGTCCAATACCAATTACCCGACCTCAGAGTGATGGGAGGCTTGGTAGGTCTAGGCGCATAAGGATCGGGATTTGAACCGGCGACCATGCTTATGTGAAGTGCGCTACTTGCCACTACACCACCTCCGCCCATAAAAAATACATTACGATGCGTATATAAAGATATGAGTAGAATCAACCAATTTCATCGGCACGAACAGCTTACAGAATTTAAATTTATTAACAAATCAATATTATACTATGACTTGAAAGGAAACAGATTTATAACGCCTTTCGCAGGTTGAAATTTATACAGAAATACGCCTTTCACATCCCAAGCCGGTCAGAGACCAGATAATCATAAAAGATGTCACAGGTGAAAGTGGATAAGGTTGCAACCATGGGCGGAGCAAGCGCAAGAGGCGGAGCTTTAGCTGGGGGTTTTCAATTAGTATAAAAAAATAACATTTCACAATGGTCAAGGGAAAAAAGGGGTTGAATAAAATGAGCGACATCTTTTGAAAAAGACTATAGGAAGGCATCTGGGTGGCTCCTGTGATTGTAACACGAACGTCAGGTGGAAGCCCATTGCCCAATTAGAGCAAGACTCAAATAGCGCAAAAGAAGTAGAATAAAATATATTAAAAGGATAAGCGCTTTGATCGAATGGAAGATCTTCAGCAAGAGGGGATTTTTCCTTTGCATAGATATCTTACTCAATTATTCTGTGATCAGCAAGCCTAATGGGCATTTTAGGATGTCAAAAATTCAAGACCCTGTTTTGAACAAATAATGAGATTCTAGGAAGTTACTCCGCAAACGACAACACAAAATTGAAAAAAAAATGCTCAAAAAATTGCATAGTCCTGAATGAGCGTCCCAATAGGACTCTTAACTATAATACCTCGAGGTATTAGAGGTTTTCCGAAAGAACTAATCGAGATATTTCCTTCTACAGCGATGATTACTGTAGTTGACAAGAAACGCCCGCTGCCGCGTGTTTTCGAGAGCTCAGTCGCCCTTTTTATGACATCATGATACTTAGAGAATAGTCAGGTACGTTTCTTTTTTGTTTACTCTCATTTTGTTATAATTTTTCTTCATTTCACTCATCTGAAGTGCTTTTGTTGTTTGTTATTACGTTGTTATATGGGCTTCTGCCCAAATTTCCATGTGCGCTTCGCGCATGTAATAAATAATATTTAAAATCGACTACTAACCCCCAGTGGGTAATACTTATTTCTAACCTCGATAGAAGTCCACATCTGCAGCACTTGCCCCACCTACAATGCTATGTACCTTGGGTAAAATAAATGCGACCCCTCCAGTGCTGGTGTTAAAAGAACCGAATTCAAGTCCAATGCTCCCCATTCTTATCCCGACCTCCTCCAATTACCTACAAATCGTATGTCTAAAATCTGTGATTCCTTCCTATAATCGTATGGGGATCCAAGGCTCATCGGTAAAAATCTGCGAAGTTTGAAATGGTGGGGTAAAAAGCTGGAAGTCGACAGGCCATGCAGTTTTAATTGAGCTTTGGTATAGTCAAGAAAACAAAAAGAATATTATAGCCGTTTTCAAGACGAATACAACAACATTAAATAGTTCCAACTGCACAGTTCACTTTCGATATATCCTATCACATGCGATATCAACACATAAGCACAACAGTAGGCTAAGTTCGGATGGAACCCTAATCACGGTTACCCGTGCGGGAAAAGAATTAGTACCCTTATATCATTTATATCGTGGAATTTCAAGCAATCTAACAAAAGCAAATCAATCAAATCTGAGAAATCAAAACGCTCACCGAATTCTGGGCTATCCGATGGCACTCAAGAAGAGCTGGGAAAAGATCAACAAAATAAAAGTCATACTGGTTGGAGTTGGAGTTGTTTCAGTATGAATAAAATACCCCAAAAAATATACAGTGAACATATGCAGGTAAAGTTAGGGATAGTCAGGAAAGAGGGCGGCTCGTGACAAGAACGGAGTAAGGCAATTGTGCAGATCAAACTGCATTTAGTCGCCCTGAATCAGAAGACTCATGATCAAGAGAGGAGTATTACTGTAGGTCCAAATCCACATCCTTCCCCATCGAGCACCGTTATAACTAGTTCTCGATGTGGCCCCATTTCCATCTAGTTTTCGGAAAAATCAGACGTCAGCGTTTTTAGCGAATCAAGCGAAGTAAGTCGACAAATCAATCGGATTTTCCAGTTGATCGATCTGCCGGCTCACTTCATTTGATTCGCCGATATCGATCGGGTCGAAAAGAATTGCAAGTGGAGGGTCAGCTTGAATTCAAATCGAAATGGGAAGGGAACATATGCCTCCAGGGGACTAGTGTCGACGTTTACAAAACGTGAACAGAATACTCTAAAACATAGAGTGATCATATGCAGGGAAGTATAGGGATAAGCAGGAAAAGAGGGCGGCTCAGTGGCAGGAACGGAGTATGGCAATTATGCAGATCAAACTGCCCTGAATCAGAGGACTCATGATCAAGATAGCAGTATTACTGTAGGCCCATATAAACAGTTTATTCATAAAGCAGTAGGTTGGTGTGTTGGTTTGTAGGTTTGTGTGTTTCTTGGTTTGTCGTTCTGTCCGCCCGCAAAAGTTTGTGATTACGATAAACGTAGTGATGTGGAAAACCCAGCTCGGTCTCACATTTCCTATTATCTGTGGAGCAGTGAATTGGAAGATAGATTAATGAAGTAGAGCGAGTATTGCGTGTGAAGCGAGAAAAGTGGAATGAAGTGGGTACCTCAGAACTCTGATTCCAATCTGTGCTGGCATCGTGCTATGTATGTCTAAACAACATTCGGAGGTGATAGTGTAGTTGAGAAACCTCTGCTTTTTTCAACATTGAGCGCTGGAGAGAGCTATATAGGGTGGTTAGCCCATAATTGTGCTCAAAAACGTTTCTTAGTCGAGAGCATGCAGTTTTTTGACCTGCCCGAGCTTCAGGATCACCGAGGTGGGTGAGCCAATTGGATACTCAATTCATACCTCATCCTAGCTTTTTGAACTAGGTTACCATCTCACCCTTGCTACCCCTCCTCTGCACTCAAGCCCCTAGATCCGTATTGAAGGAAAGGGCATCTCTATTCATTTATTTATTCAATACATTAACATTTTATTCATTACTGACCTGAGGGCTTGAGATCACCTAGTGCGAAAAGCAACGATGGGGTATGAGTTAAATATCCAATAGACCCCCCCCCNCCCCCCCCCCATACAGATAATATCAGTCGGGCGACTCATATATTTAATAATTCGATCTCCCCTGTATAACGTAGATAACCCTCTAACTAATACCATACTGTTTACAATTAGAGATTGCTTTCTAGGAAAATCTAACTCAGAACGTTACCTTTTACTGCAAAAGTGAGGACCACCATCCCACCTTGTTTCTACTATTTCCATTTCAATTAAGTGATTGTCAAAGCCCAATGCGGTTGATCTTATCCAGCCAAAGGAAATGAATCGATGATTATACTCATTGATGACCACTATAAATCGAAAACTATGAAATAGCTGCTAGATGTTTTGCACGGATCCCTTTGAGTCTCCCATCCGTATGAGTAAAAAAAATGAAGGTAGAAAGAGGATAACTTTTGTGCTAATGCAGAGCTTCCAATAGTAGGAGCGGTTAACCCTTTCACTACAATGCGGATTTTGACGTTACACGCCCATGGAACAACGCTCCCCTCCTTTCACGCGCAAATGGCACCCACCGGTGGGTGGCACTGTCCCACGAGAAAGTTCTTTCATTGACTTACTGAATTCAGCAATTGGTAAGAAACAAGAAGGTATGGTGGCGCCCAAAATGGGGTGCCCATGTCCCATGCGTCAGTCATAGTGGCACCCACCGGTGGGTGCCATCATCGTCAAAGGGTTAAGGATAAGGCAATCAGATGAATGAATTTGAACAGTGAATTTTCAAACAATTGTGTGGATAATGACATTCAAATACTTTACGCGCAGCGCACCTCGAAATAATTGGTCAACATTGACGACATTCACCTTTGGGACGGACGGCCGTGGGTTCACTCACCATTCGAACAGGTGGCGGGTGTTTTTTCGCAATTCCAACAATTCTTCTAGCAGACCACCTATCCCATGCCCTAGATCCTTTTTTCAGTCGGCTCTCCCCTGCCCGATACTGACGCTGAGCTCTGGCGTGATCAGGCATGTGCCGGCTGGTCAGTGACTGGCCCAGTGTTGGGCAGAGAGCTGACTACAAACTTCACATTCCCATACCAGACTGGGTACTGTAACAGTATTCCATCCCTCCGGGGTTAGCTAACTGGTACCAAACTCGTCTGGGAGGATAAAAGCGACGAATTGTACATTCGCTAGCCATTGTAGGCCACACAAGCATTCATTACGCCACTACGATTCTGAATGGGAAGTAGAATGCAAGGCGTACCTTCTGAAGGGATTGATTAGCGCTTCAAGGCTTTATCTTTTTATCCTATAATAGAGTTAGGATTGTTCCTAGATTATGCGTTTCATCTAGTAATGAGTTCTGAATTTTACTAGAAAAGTTTGTCTACAGTAATACAGAAGAATGGGTTCTATGATGGGAACACGAATTTTCTCTCCAACTTGATGGCAACGGTTTAGCATAACATAAGCCTAGGGAAGGACCAGATCCCCGATTTTTCCTTGTGTTACAGTGATTAAAAGTAGGGGTAAGAGGCGTACTTTATCACACGATGGCCTGGGGATCGGATCTCAGGACTGATACTCGTCCAAAACAACCAAGCCTTTCATCACCCCGGGGTCGTCTGATAAGTGACAGTGATAAAGCAATGTTGATGTACAACTACATTTCGACTGATGCTGCTTCGAGATGTAACAGCTGGCTATGGTTGACTTGTCATGAGCTAAAAAAACCGTACTAACTAGACAGGGCATTCACTTTCCCCGCCGTTGCTTGTGGAACAGAATAGTTTCCCAATTTCATAGGGCATAAGAACTTGTTGGAGACATACGAAGAGCCTAAAGGCACCGAATGGCCGCATGAAATTGAATTCTAAGTCCTGAATACAGCTATAAGAAGCAAGAAAGATTACGTGAATCACCCTACCGAAAAAGTGTTTCCAAATAATTGGGTAGTGAAGGATTGGCGCTCAGAGGATTTTGGACTAGATTAGTATGTGAGTTAAAATATTGTTCCTATTGTTACTGGGACTAGAGTAAAACTACAAGGAAAGTATAACGGGTTAATGGGTGAAGAGTGACGCCATGGATCACACACGCAGGTCGATAGTAAAACCTATGCATGCAGCTCTACAGCTGCTGTATGTGGGGATAATGAGGACAGCTAAGGGTCGCGATGCTTTGTATAATCTTTTTATAAAGCGATGCGCTTTCTGTTTTGATCTGACGCCAGACTTTTCCCCTAGCCGGCCCCTATGTTACACCATATCACGCGAATATGTAACCTGTAATTCTTAAACCGTCCTATGTTTCCAATTATCTCTGGTCTAAGAAACCTGATCATGGAGTGGAACCCGAGTTTTGAATTTCTCCAAATCGCTGTTTGCGATACTCTATCCCAATATCGCGAAACCAACTTCGAAGAATCTGAATTTCGATCAAAACAGGAGTTTGAATAAACATAAAATTCTCAGACACCTGTACTATGAAGATCGATTCGAGCGACAAGGAGCAGATTTTGCAGCTTTCTTAGAAGGTATGTAGGTTCTCAATGTCCAGGTTCGAGTGACTGCGGGTGTCTAAGGACTGTCGTTTACCATACTCCCGCTATTGAATGGCTTTTCTTACTGTTGAGGTAAGAATTACTGCGCGTACCTTCAGGACCAAAATGAATCGCCAACCTGTCGGTGAAAACATATCATCGGTTAAATTCTGCTCGCCCCATCATTTAGCTTCGAGAAAACCATCACAAGGAATATGTTGCACACAGCCTCGAGAAAACAGAGCCCATGCAACAGGCGCTGCGCATGGCCTAGACAGGGGCTACGAAACATCAGGTTTCCCATTCTGATACAAAGAAAGAGTCAAAGCCCAACGTTGTCACGGGGATATGGACACAAATGTTCTATGTATATCTGACGAATTAAGTACAGCCGTAAGATCATTTGTTAGAAAGGCAAGTCTCCAGGACTTGACAGGAGTTGTGGACACTCCTGCTCAAATCTTGACAACAGCTATTCCGGAAATGCCTATATGACCCCCTTTGCACAAAGTCTTCTTGTGACTTATGCCCATTTCGCTGAGGAGTTTGCATGACATGTGGTATAGTGTTAGAATCGTACTATCAATATCAAAAGGATTACGTTTGGGGAACAGGTAGACTTCTTCGAATTCAGCTGAAAGTACACTTGGATGGTACCTCTTCTAGGGAGAGCATAGGGTACAACGTCATGGAAACATGTGCCTCAAAGTGACGAGTGTCGTTGACAGTCGATCTTGAATATTGAAACTATCCCTTCACTTCTAGGGATACAAACAGCTATGACGTATGAATTCAGAAGCTATTGAAGAAGGAAGGTCATTTACATAAAAAAAACAGCCTCATATTATTAGTAAAGTTCTCCGTTCTAGCAAAATTCGATAGCGCAGGGAATGTAATGGCCCAATCGAAAACAATAAATCCTTGTTCAGAAAACTATAAAATAAGAAATCTGTGAATGTGGCTGACATATAACCAAGCTGTAGGCGTCAAGAAGATATAAATAGTAAGACGGAAAGCAAGCATTCCATATTCACTACAGGCATTCAACATGGAACGTCTGCTTTTTGCTTTCCTCCTTATTGGAACTACTCTGGTACGTTCAATATGTTAACTTTTCTATGATAAGGCCATGGGTATCGCTTCCTACATTCTGCGGCAGTAAATGGAAGACAACATTCCGAAGGAATTCTTTGAAGGCTTGCTCCCCAGTGCCAGAGCCCAAAGTGAAAGGGAAAGGGCACGATATCGTGTACGTTACTTTAGTCACCAACCAAACCTACAATCCAGAGGGAGTCAGCACATTCTTGAGCGACTTTTCCAAAACAGAGGTCAGTATTGAGGTTATTTCTAAACATGTTTGGAAACTGTTCTATGATTCATTTCGGATTCAACAATATTCTGCGTCACTTTTCAGATCTGAACTGTACCAACACGGACGGCTATATCACCTGGACTTTCAAACTTACTGATGCTAATTGCTCTATTGTACTCATTGCGACTTGTTCTCTTCAGCCTTTTTTGGGTCCAGTAGACGACAGTAGTCAGCCCTTGCTCATTTACACAAAATAATGACCAATTTTTAAGGTGAATGCTTGGGTAAAGCAAATCGTGGCGAGCTCGTCGTTCTACAAAGCTGGATATATTCATGCGGAAGGGAAACATTCACAGCGTACGTTACACTAGTCTGCTACACACCCTGGGATCCAGCTACAAAGAGCATAGATTTGAGCCTCTTCAACGTAACCAATGTCAGTATAGAGGTTCTTCTCTAAACGTTTCTAGAAAATTTCGATTTTTCAAAATTCATTTCAGGCTCAACCATATTCTGCGTCACTTGGAAACTTTACAGATCTACACGTTATCAATGTGAACGGCTCTTTCGCCTATGCTTTCACATTTACGAATGCTAATTGCTCAAATGTACTGNTTCGTGTTCTTTACAGCTTTTTTGGGCCCAGTAGATCGCAATAGTCTGCTGTTTATATACACAAAACAATGGCTGTTCTTTAAGGTGGAGCACTGGGTTGGACTGACCGTAGCTGGTACTTCTGAATTTAACTACTTCACAAATGGTACTGTCACATGCGTCCCTGCAGAGACACCAACATCGGGGAACGAGAACTTGATTGAAATAACAACAACACCACCACCAACAACGACAACACCAACACCATTAGTGATAGTTCCAGGTGGTGCTCTTCCAGCCGCACCAGTGGTCATACCATATCAGGCGGATTATGAAGAAACAGCAGAGCATGTAGAAGAGTCTGTGTCTTCATTCGAGAGCATGTCCATCACGAGCCTTTGATAATATTTTGCTAATAAATAATTCAGCAGAAACTGTTTATTACCAACGACAAGGTCAACTGGTGCTAGTACCTTTAGCAAACTCACTAGGGAAGGAAAATTCAAAATCAAATCAGTCGAAACGATTTTTCAACAAATCGATATTGGCTATAAAATCTATAGCAGTTTTACTTCAGCATTAGTGTTAATGTTTAAAGTCTTTTGGCGTCTATCATTCCTGTCCGAGGAATGCACCCTCGCATTCGACTTCCATTCAGAATCGAATGACGTATTGAAAGCATATGTGGTCTATTCAACGAAATGCGGTTTCCAACCGATGTACAAGTCAATGTTTTTATCCTCCCAGACAAGTGTGGTACCGATTACCCGACCCCAGAGTGATGGGAGGCTTCGTTGGTCTGATCGGTATCCGATCCGGGAATCGAACCCGTGACCATGCGTGTGTGAAGTGCGCCACTTGCGACTACTACAACACTTCCGTCCATAGAAAATGCATTACGATGCGTATATAAAGATATGAGTAGAAATTCGGCCGATTTCATCGGCACGAAAAACTTACATCGTTACTCGAGTAGATTTCAAATTCATTAACAAATTAATATTATACAATGACCTGAAAATGAAACAGATTTATAACGCCTATCGCAGGTTGAAATTCTTATAGAGATACACCTTTCACATCCCAATCCGGTCAGAGACCAGGAAATCACTAAATATGTCACAGGTGAAAGTGAAGAAGGTTTCAATTGTGGGCGGAGCAAGCGCAAGAGGCGGAGTTTCAGCTAAGGATTTTCAATGAGTATAAAAAATGAATATTTCACTATGGTCAAGGGAAAAGACTAATGGATAAAGTGGACAACACCTTTCAGAGATGGATACAAGAAGACACTCGTGTGGCTCGTGCGTTATAGGACGAACGCCGGCTGGGAATACATAATCCAATTAGAGCAGCACTCAAATGCGCAAAAAAGTAGAGTTAAATAAATTTAGAGGGTAATAGTCTTGTGGTGATTGCAAAGACGGTCGTGAGCAAATGTGGTACTGTTTCTCTTTGCATTGATATCTTATTCAATTATCCTATGAGCATCGCATCATGGGATGCACACATAGCTTCCAAATCAAGTCATTTTCGAACAGCTGTATAATATTCTCGGGACATTCCGCAAATACCAGCATAAAATTGAAAGGAAAGCTCAAATGACTGGATCAACCTAGACGAGTGCCAAAACAGAACTCTTAACTAGAATACCTCGAGGTATTAGAGGTTTTTCAAAAGAACTTATCGAGATATTTCCTTCTACAGCGATGATTGCTATAGTTGACAAGGAACGCCCGCTGCCACGTGTTTTTCTCGTTCAGCACGAAGATTGGAGCAAAGCGACCGACCTTGATTGTGTCCAACATGATTTTCAGATAATCGATGTACGACTGTCCATTACGTGGCGGATGAAACTAGAAGGCCCCAAAATAAATGAGTAAGATAGAAAACCGAAAGTTAAAAATCTCTAGGAAATAACAATTGACGTCTCAGTAGAATCTCCAGCCCCAAATCCTCTTCCTATTTGGCATTACCCAGGCGTACACTGGCTTACTTTGGGCGGGCAACGGAAACGGAATGAAGAAAAACGCTGTATAGTACTCCTCCACAATAAGAGCATCTCCATTCAAATAAACAACGAATAGGACTTAGATTTTTTGAACTAAATTTAACAGAGTTCGAAAGGAAACAATACTGATAAATTTCCACTAAAGCCTGCCCAATATGTGAACAACCATGTACACTACAACCCAAAGTCCCAAGCGCAGATCATCTCCTTAAAAAATAAAAACAGATACACAAGCTTACCTCAGCGTTTATTTGACAAATTACTATGCCATGCTTGTCAAATACTTTGTCTATTGTTAGCAACTGAACCGTGTCGTATTCAGCACCTTCGTTGTCCATCAATATGAGATCTATCATTGATTCATTCACCATTTTCGTCAGGAATGTCACAAAATCAATGGTCATCACGTTGCTAGACTGGTACCCTAAACATATGCCTAGGCGTAGTACATTTATTTGTACTTTGAGCCGGATTAATCTGATAAAGCTAATAATCATAGACGGGAACATAGCAGAGCAAACGAAAAAAAAAAAAAGAAAAATCGACAGTCTGTGAGTCAGAAATACATTGAACTTGCTTCAGGAACAATGTAGCCGTCTTTCGAATCGTATTCGCTGTTATTCAAAAATTAAGGTTCCAAGCAGTCAGAGAAAAACAAATAGTAGCTGTTGCTCCCCTCCTACTGGATCATAAAGTATAAATTTCATTTCAATTGAAAATAATAAAAACTAAATCAAAATGTGAATTACTCACTTCCTTTCGTAAGGATATCTGTAGCAATATAACCGGTCTCTTTTCCAACAGCTATCGGAAAAAACTTTCCAACCTGTGCGAAGAGATCTGCATTCTTCTCCCATACAGGATCAGCGCCAAAAAATTTAGAACCCTATAAAGGCGCTTGAGAAAAGAAATTGCCCAATGAGAATATAAAAAAGGAAGTTGCATCAGTAGAAGGTAAATAATACAAATTTTTCACCAGCGGTAATGTTTTCTTGAGATGTTTTTCCGCGATTATATCTTCACCAACTCCTAACGTAACAACGACGGCAGGGTCCGTGGTCTGTAAGAATTAAGTGTCGTGAAGAACCTGCCCAGTAAAGTATACTTTTGCCCCTTTTTCAAGTTGCTCGCCCGGAATAGCGCGTCAATCGATAGCGGTTTTTAGGGTAGGTTGCCGATTTTCGATTGACGTTTTCTATTGACGCGACAAGTGTAAATAAATTTCGCAGTTTTTATTCAAATGAATATAATAGACATACTTGAATAACTCACATCGTTATTGTAAATATATCGCTTGATTTCGTCCTTATTCCGTATAGGTGTGATGATTATTTTCGACAATTCTGTAGACGCCGTGCATTTGACAACAATTGCAGCGAATTTCTTCCAAAGCTGAAAAGACTTTCATCAACGTCTGTTGAACTTCGAAAACAGTACTTGTTAAACTGAACAGAAAAACCGACATTCCGATGGTGGCCATATTCTCAATGGCATGAAAATTGGAAGTAGTAAAGCTAAACCGTCTTAAGCGTAACAATACTTAACCAGCCATCTTCCTTTAATCTGAGGATATGTCAGAGGTCAGTCAGGCAGAATCTACTGCTATCGGCCTGTGTGCATTGCGCTATTTCTCGTCTCCCTTGGATGAGCCAGTCAGTTGTCTCGGGTACAACGTAGACTATTACGAATAGATTAGACCAGAATTTGCAAAGATTTTGGATATGCATTGAGATTTCAGTGATGACCAAGCTAAGAACCAGCATAACAAGCGTTTTCAAGTGCCATATGACACGACTATCCCAGCATGCCAACATGGCGATCTGGGAAACCTATTTTGAGGAAACCGATATCTCCCTAAAGACAGAGCTCCATAGTCAATACCTGATCGGCTAATTTTGTGTCTTCAATTCCTGCCCTAAATGATTACTGAAGAAAGATTGGGTTGTCAGGAAAGTCTTCATCGATTTTTGAGTGATCTTTGGAAGGAATTTTCCAGAAGATCAGTTCCACTCATCGCACAACATATCGTCCCTTATGTACAGTAGCAGTTCGCCACTTTTCGATCACTCTCTTCGCTCAGGTGCTTTTTTGCAGACTTTTGGAAGATTGAACTTTCCCATTTAGAAGATTTCGCAGAAGCCCAAAAAATGGTAGTCTGATGGTGCTTTGTCCTGACTGTATGGAGGGTGTTGTAAGAAGTGTGCGTGTGGTCCTGCTGGAAGACAACACCCTCACCATCGGCCACTTCTGGGCGCTTCTGGTCTATCGCCGCCTTTAAATTGTTCAGCTGGGTACAGTACCTTTTCAAAGTTATCGTTCTACTATGCGGCAACAGCTCATGATGAATGATTCCCTTACAATCCCACCAGCAACACAGCATAATCTTCCCCATTTGGATTTTGTCTTTTGGAGTCTTTCCGGACAACCCAATAGAACTTGCCGAGTTAGCTAACATGCGAAATATGATAATAAAAATAATATACTATAAGATTAAAATAAATAATAAAAAATAAAATAATATATAAAAATAACAATAAATATAAATATAATAATATATCAAGAAGCATCGTGGACACACCTTTGGGTCGCTTTTCTTCTTGTCGAGTTGTTTGATCACACATTGTCGCCAATCTTCAAATGCAGCGGTGACCGCTGGTGCCGTATTGGATGACTCATAAAGTCTTCGTGTTCGAACAGTGTTGTTAGATTTGAATGGTGGGTTTCTGCTTGTTGACGGAACCGAAGTTGGATTGAAATGGATCATGAAAAGAAACAAGCACACAACCAGTATCAGAAGAAGGGTACAATGGCCCGAAACGACCATCGCATCTGAAATTCATTCACGGTTGAAGATCCGGTTAAAACGACATACTACGGTCAATTAGCAAAGATCGTCTATTCCCTTCTATTTGCGCAAAAAGACATGGCTCTCGAAGGAACGAGACGAAAAATATCATCAAAAGCTTACTGTTGGTGGAGCCTCACTAGCCCCAGAAGGCAATGGATATGTTGAGCGAATCGTCGAAGTAGACAAGGTTATTGCGAGCTTTCGACTTTCCTCATTGGGAGATTATTGAGCTACAGAGCTCCTTCGTATTTCGCACCCACGCAGGAAGACTAGCTAATGTTGTACCTGCAGGGTGTTTGGAGTAGTGATACCCTGGCACCTAACGTCGACAGATGAAGATTTCATAAACAAAACCTTCATAAGGATAACTCCAGCCACTCCAGCTGCTAACGACTGGTCACTCAACCCAATATATTTGATAAGAACAATTTTTCATTCGAAAAAAGTCACTGGGATAAAGGGTATAGTTCTACGAAAGCTCACCAAATATTCTTAAACACAGTAAATGTCCATGGCAGGCATAGGTCATGAGGCACCATCGCTGTCGCAGAGAAATAGGTTACGACAAGCGACGATCAGCTCTGGTATTGCCAGCGGTTGGCGGTGCTTCTTTCTCCCTGATCTATTTTTTCTGTCTTTCGCACCTTTCTTACACTCTTTGAATATCACAATTGAAAAAAAAAATCAGCATCACACGAAAGCAAATGAAAAGAGTGGATAAAACGATGAGAACATTGCTCTGATGATAGATAGACCAACATACTTATTGTATTAGAGAGTTGACAGCAAAAAAGGACGACCTCTTACCCACGGCCAAGGAAACAGTATGCGGTAGGCGAGGAATATTCGGGTCGATCCTAACGGTTTGGGACCTACCCAACAAGCTTCACGCTCTTTCCCAAGCAAGGTTTATCAGGTTCCCACAGGATTCGACAAGTCCAGTAAGGATCTACTGTGGACAAACAGGTACTAACCGTTTGAACATGAGAAACTGTTCCCATGGGAGCTACGACCTCACGACCTCTCAAGTGCAGGAATCCGGCGTCTAACAACTAGTTCATATATGATGTCATGCGATCGAAGCATTCTCACTGTCTGCATTCATACTGCGCGATGGCCGATTGGCAAATGGCGGTAAGCGACGGGCGAAACACGTGACCAGCCCTCTAATCGCATTTGTTTTACTACGCTATTCAACTAAACTAAGCAAACATCGCAAGATCTGTAATCATGAAATATTAAGATCCACGAAAAAATATTTGAGCGCTCGAAAGGTGAATTCCCAGCTCTACATATTGGTATGAGCTAGCTTGAACGCCATACTGCAAGTCTGAGAAGTAAGAATATGATCATGCAACGAAAAGCGGGCAATTTTGCACAGTGACCGCTCGAAAGTGTCACGGTGATTCATTTCAAACATTACCACCTGCAAGCTGAGTACACCTCCTCAGAATAATCGTCGTGCTTTCATATCGCTTCACGAAGAGTCTTCAATATAAAGAAGAATAACAACAACAACTGAAAATTTCCTTGTGTGCTTCAAGGCTCTTACTAGTACCAAACCTCAATAAGCTCAAGAAAAGCGAAGACTAGTTCTATCATATAGTAGTAATAATGACGAGAAAATTGAAATGCTTCCAGAAGGCCAAAATAAAGCCTCTCAGCACAGTCAATAGAGAGTAAAAATACCCAGTCTCAACGTTGATTTCTGACGCTGTACATTCCAGAGTACATATTTGTCTGCATCAAAAGAGGAGAGACATCTGGGCATTGGTGGAGTTTACATGTGGTCCCTAATTTGAAGCGCGCCATTTTGGGTGCCATTACTCAATACTACTTTAATCGAATCCACATGAAAACTTCAATCATTCTTCTCAGCTGCAGATTTTTCAACTACCTCTAGTTGAGAGTGTTACCTCATTTGTTTAAACTCATGTGCATATGCGAGAAAATATAATTTAGGAGTTCAGAAACCTCCCGCCTTATTGTAGACGTTTGAAAAAAGGCGAAAAGATCAAAATCGTAGTGACAAGGAGCCAAGCAGCATTTTGTTAATGATAAAAATGTAACGTGGCAGTAACCTATGCAGCGAGTTACCACTAAGGACCCACAAAAGACATGCGTTCGAACATCTGAAAGCTTTGAAAACTCATGGAAGAGCCTTTTTCCAAGCATACGCCTCCCCAACAATGACAAGTAGGGAGTCAATTCTTTTTGTGAGAAGGAGAAATCCAAATGTTCAATGCATCAAACGTCCTGAATGGCATTAGTTATAGTATAACATTCATGTGTGCGACACTTTTTTCTGACTAGATTGAAATTCTAACGCAAGTTGAAAAACGTTGGTGGCTGGAAACAATTTACGTTCTCACAGCACGTAGATATCTTTTCATACCTCTTGTGCCACAAAAAGAGCTATAATTCAGGAAAACATCACGCATTTATGTCCACCCTGCCATTTGAAAAGTTTCAGCAACTAAATTAAGGAAATATATACAACTCATAGAGTACTTTGGTACTATTCATCATTTGCTCTGTGAGGGCAAAACATGTTTGACCTACAAACTGGAAGACTGCAGAGGACTAAGTCTATCTTTTCGGCTGACAAAGGATGATTACAAGCTTTTACACACCGAGGCTTCTGTACATTGTTGCCTTCATGCAATTAAGTGTCAATCCTCGCGAAAAATAAGACTTTTATCTCCATTTCACATGACAGAAACCACTTACCGGGGAAAAATGAACATTGGTTTTCATCGTCAAATATGAACAGTTTTCACACTCTTAACTCATGACCTATCTTCGCTACATTTGACAGAAAAACAATCTTGAATAGGAAATTTCTGCCTAGAATCAATGGGATGCAAAACTGAGGAAAGAAATCTTGAGAATTGACGCGTAGTATGAACATTGAACAATAGATGAAAACTACACCGTATCATGCAGGAAGAGAATAAAAAAGTGGCACTGGCCTAGAAGCTGTACTGTACTGGTTCGTTTCCATCAGAAGCTTTCTGTTCTTCATCGTGGTCGCCTTCACTGAAGAAGTCCGAAATGATGCGATAGGCAGTCGAGTAAACCTGAAAGAATTATGGTGGACCGCCTGAACAGACAACTGCAACCAAAAGAAAAACTTATGAAATATTGGCAATCGGACCGAAAAAAGCATCAAAAATTAGAATACCTTATCAGATTCAGACTCCTGGAGACGCTCCAAATAATCCAGCCCGTCTGCTTCTTCCACAGCTTCACGGACTTCATCCAGCCTCTCGGGACAGCTAAATGTTAACGAGTTCCTCTTGAAACGAAGAGAAAAATTTGTCGATGAAAAGTTCGAACGTACCACGTCGAGACTGTAGTTAGTAACGTGTAAAGAGACTCGAGTGCATTATTCAGCAAATCTACATTGCTCTGTTTAAGAGCACTGCACAATGCAGGAATCGCGTTATCTTGAAGGAGAGTGAGAATCTGTTTCGAATTACCGCCTTGCGCCAAATTCGCTACAGCCCATGACGCTTCGAATTGGCATTTGAAATCACCCTGCAAGAAGAAAATTTTACCCCGCTGGCATCTTTGAACTAGCGCTACCGCCGAAGAGCCTACCGAACGCAACACTTCAATGATAAAAGGCATAATTCCAGCATCAATAACGGCCTGAATCTGGCTCTGAGTTCCAGCAATAATGTTCGAGACGAGCCAACAACATTCCTTCACCACTGTGGTCGACCTTGAACGCTCGGACAATGGAATGATCTCATCCAATGTCTTCAGGTCCACGACACACTGAAAGACAGATAACTACACTTGCATGAAGTACACTTTTAACAAACACTCGTGGTTTTGCGGTGTCCACTCGACATCGAGCAACGAAGCAGCAGTAAGTTACCGCACCTAAAAACTGATGCAAGTTTGTAGGCCAATTAACTGTGGATCGCTAAGCGGCGTCGGCACTCAGCTATCCACAGATTCTATCAATCATTCTTATCAACCGCTAAGCTACAACTGTTCCTCCCCGAACGATTGGCAGCTCGGGAAGGGAACGGTTATAGCTCAGAATGACTACGAAGAGTGCGTAAGAGATGTGAATTCTACACTAGTTGGGTTTCCAAAGTTGACAGCAATTTTCTCATGGAGGTGATACACTGGTGAAATAGACAAGAATAAACAAAAATGTGAAAGGAGTGGGAACGACACAGTTTCCAAAACTAACCTGGGTCAACTCATCGTTTCCTGTGCTCATATTTCCTAAAACACGAAGAGCTGGAGCCACCATAGCATCAGAATCACTCAGGAACTTGATCACATGAGGAAGAACACCTGAGAGCAAAGTTTACAGATGCTCACCATCGACTTAGTGACTTCTGTTAGTAGTAACCAACCAAGCAAACAACCACTGGGTAGATAAAATGTTTAAACATTCATAAATTCGACATTATTCGGCGGAAACTGGTAACTTCAGAATCTAAGAGTGTATCAAACAATGGTGTAACATCGTACTAACCACTTGTCTTAGCGAGGGCAATTTGTTCATCGGGACCATCGGTGAGGTACGAAATTGCCCAACATGCATCCTGTCGCACTTGCTTATCCTGTTACCGTAATTAATTATTAGTTTCTTGTGAGAATAAAAAAATTTCAAATGCATACACGACCTCTAACTGTTGCAAAGAAAAATCCTCACCTCATGAGCAACAATTTTGGCAAGTCCGTTGCTGAGCACTGACAATACGGCCAACGGGGCGTGTGGACTCTTGTGCCGACACATGTTGGAAAATGCCCATGCAAGAGTGCGAGCGCAACTGACTTCGAGGGAATCCAGCCGGTCTACTAGGCTCATCAACGCTTCCACACCATTGCACTCTTGAAAGTAAAATTATTAACTTACGACCCAGATAGCGAGGTAACATTTTCGTCGACTGATTTATGAGAACCATTAGTTCTCGTTCACGAAGAGAAGAACAGAGACTGATTTTGTAGAGACTATGTTGTTGGCAACTTAAGGCGCTAATGACACGAAAGTCTCTCGAACTGGGGTTACGAACTCAGTTGCTATTCTAGGATTACGAATTTTAATTTAGAGCCAATAACCACAGAATAAAACCCCTGTTTCTGCGGAATAGTCGAAGTGAGGGATTGCAGATTAGACCAGGAGTCCTGCTCACCTATGACGTAGTCCCTCAGTTGAGCCGAATCTCCAGCTATATTGGCAACAGCCCATAGGGCCTGTTCAGCTAAAGCTGGATTAGAGCTCTGGGTGAGCTTGACTAGAGGAAGCGTGGCACCGGCTTCAACAGCGGCTACCGTTTGTTCCGATGTACCCGATACAATATTTGTCAGCGCCCATGCGGCTTCGAATCGAACTTTATCGTCCTGGAAACCTCAAGTGGGATTATCACAAATAGACAAAGAATATAAAAAGAAGGAACCCAACCTCAACAGCGAGTGCTTGTACCAACGCATTCACAAGGCCACTTTGAATCACTTCATCGACAGGTGGATTTTTTGAGCGAGACAGCGTTCGGCGAAGTGCTTCAAAGCAAGTCCGCATCTGCTCCAACGTGGGGTTATCACAAAGAATCTTGATGATTTCTTCATTGGAGAGCTTACTAGTCGCTGCTTAAAGAAAACTATATTAAGACTGACTGTGAGACCGAACGGAGCATGCTGGAATTGACAGACGCTAACCAGGCAACGTTTTTACATCCAGGTCTGAGAGCTCTCCATCGTCTTCATCCTCAACTAACTGGTTTCTGCGTTTCATCAATAACTCGGTACCTTTCTGTTTGCGGATTTCTACGCTGGTCTCATTTCTGCGACGTCGCATATCCTGAGAAAAGCCAAATTATTTCGATTTCATTAAAAGTTCTTAACGACCAGCCAAGACCTTTCCCTAACGATTCTCTCGGCGGCAAAAATGATACGTTCCATTCATGGCTGATTAATGCTATCCCAATTCAAACATCAACAACAACATTCTGCTACCTCGAATTCAATGAAGCATTTACTCCCACTCATATATCGGCCCGATCCAGCTTCATGGGTTCTAGCGAGATAAGGCAACAAGGGGAAGAAATTAAAAATCCGTACCTCGTGTCTTGCGACATTCTTGTATAGTTTAAGACGAGCTTCTTCAGTCATTTCGGCCTTAGGTAGATTTTCGCTCTGATTTGCACGAAGCGCCATAGCTCTAGAAGTAATCCAGCTGAAACTCGAGGGAAAACAACACCTTTGTCTAGTAAAGGAGACACGCAGCTGCTGTAGCGTTAAGGCAGCGACAGACGACTCCACACAGGGTTAGGGCTCAATACCTTCAAGTAGGCCTACATCTTTGGAACAAGGGATGAATGCAAAGGAAGGGCAATTCGCTGGAAACAGATGCTCGGAATAGAAGAAATAGTAGGCGCTGATGCTCTCGATGAACCGAGTAGTTTCGAAAATCGCTTTTCGAAATGAGGCCTTCGTCCATGCCAATACGCCCTCATTTCGTCAGGGCGCGCCAGTTTGAATCTACTCAAACGTGTTTCCCTGACTCGCCCGCCCGATAAGACCCACTGCACGTCATTTTCTCAGTTATGAATTCGAATTAATTAAACTGATGACAACTGCATAAGTGCAGTTTATGTTCCCACTTAATCGTTAAGAAATCCAAGAGTGGCGTTTTTTACGGACGTGAAGAATATTTTCCAAATAAATACAAAGCATGTTCCGATGACTTTATCACCAATGTTTACCATTCCTAAGCATCTTTTCAAAGTTCTCCAGTCCCAACGAAATTGATTTGTTTTGACTAAAATCAATCTTTGGGACAAGTCCCAAGTTACGCCCCTCCTCTCAAAACATTCCAAAAACTCGACGAGTTAGTATTTCGATAGTGCAAAGTGATCGGTTCTCAAGCAGCCAACCGTGCCTCATAGTAAGTGCGTACAGAGAACAACACTGATAAATAAGGTGATTTTTCCTTCCCTCCGTAAGCGGTCAAAGCTAAGAAAGGTTAAAATGAATTGGGGTAGTGAGCACTGCTCTTAACCTACAAAAAACGCTAGAACGTAGAAAAGCAGGGAGCAGGAGTAACTGACCTAATTGAGCTTGGAGAAGGTTCCCAACCAAATGAATATAGTTATTACCTAAACTTCACCATTAGCAAGGAAGGAGCACCAGGGTGGGTGTGATGATTTCCTTGCGCAAAAAGTTGGGATTAATCACACAAGAAATGGACATTCACTTGACTCACCCCACTCCGGTGCGCTTTTTCTCCTGTACTTCATGTTAGTTAAAAGAACTACTTCTTTTGGCTAAGAAACGTTCCTAAGCACCATTAATATTAAACCTAGTAAAAAAGCGACATCAAACGGAATCGAATTAGATCTTCCGTTCTAACAATCACAATGTATTTCGTATCAATGCCACTTCTCACACTTTTGGTTCATTGTTGAAGCAACGTTAGGACGCAGAAGGTTGAACCTGACCTTAATTCATTCAATCTTAAACCCTTTGGAAATCTATTTAGACATAACGAAAATCTACTTAAATCCTATCAACACTTAAATTACTGCCACAAAAGTGCGACACATTGGGCAGTACAATTCAAGACCGCTTCCATGCAACCGTCTACCCACATAGGCCGATAACGGGCGGCAAACGAAGCGAAAGTACCAGTTGAGGTCAAGCGTGTTCCCGAACTTGCTTCGGGTCGTGAAAGTTCCACTGGGAGCTTTAATCAAGCCTCACTAAGAATCGTCTTCGCCTACATTTTACCTCAAAACTCAAGCGACGAGAATAAGCTGTGGTTGTTGATTTCGGCTGTGATGATTTCAACAAGTGTATAGCGAACTCAAGAGAATCTTATAATAGTCTTATTCAACTTACACATACAAATCAACAGCTGCTCTGACTACATCTAAGTGGCGAAAACTACTTTAAGCTTTAGAAAGTTATTCCTTGAAAGCTGTATAAAGAAAAAATGTCCCCAGCGAGATCAGCTCCTTCATCATTTTGCTTAAAAACTATGATAAACTGTCCCATCACGAGAAAAGGGGCAAGTGGAGAGGGAGAAGGAATGTCAAGAGAGATATTCCAACAAAAATAAACTGACTTCCCTGGGACGGCAACCGAAGTGAATGACAGAGCGCAAATGAACCCTCGAATGTCCTCGAAAGTTCGATTTGAATAGCGAAAATTCCCGCGCGCTAGACGGGCGGTTGTCAATAGGGCACGTTTACTTATAGGCATTCGGCTATCACGGTGATCTCCATTTTGCGTGGTATTCTAGACAGGGGGCTGTTTCGATCGCAGTCAAATGTTAGAACATGAAGTTCAATATGAAAATATAGGTGTAGCGAGAAACTCATTGTTGACCTCGCCTGGAAGTTGCTGTAAAGGTTGTCATATCTAGAGCAATTACCATCTGGAAACATTCAGGGTGTTTGTCGTAGTAGGACTTCTGAAAAATCTAGAACATCACAGATTCTGGCAATCCAATATAATCGCTTTTTCGTCATTATCATAGGTAAGCTATGAAGGGGTAACCAAGTGGGTCATGTACACACTGGTGGGGAAGGGTTTTCCTTGGAACCCCTGGCGAAAATTTGGGCAGAAAATACTTCCCAAACAATCCAATATATCCATACCCTTATCAAAATCTACAAAGATTTTCATCATCTGCGAACGATCGCATTGCGATTTCGTGGACTGTTCGGATCTTCCTCAGCTTGGGAAATAGGTCACTGGCTCTTTGCAAATTACAGAAATAAAGAGGGAGGAGAAAGAGAGAGGTGAAGAGTAAAGAATAAAGCCTTTGGGCGTTGATCAATCCCTTCTGAGAAATGCGGACACCTAGCTGATATACAATTCTGAGTTTTTATCATCCCAGACTTCCAGACGAGTCTGGTACCTGCTAGTTGAAACCGGGAAGATAGAAAGCTTGGTTGGCCTAAGCACGATCCAGGAGTCAGGATCTGAACTTATCCAAGCTCAATCGATAAGCAACCAGTAATAATCAGCACTTTATTGAACAAAATTATTATTAAGGAATGGTATAGACTTGGTTTAATTTCGTAACAACTTTTGGTGGGTTCAATCTTGTCCCTGGGTAGCATCAACTTGGAGCTCTCGTTCGCTTTTATCAGCTTGCGGTGTATCAGACTGACTCCGGCCCATACGACAGCAACAACACCGGGTCAGCTTTTCTGGTAGGTGAATCAGAAACGTAGGAAGTATCTAAATATGGAGCCAATATCAGAAATTGCAGGTTTTTAAATAAAATTTCAAAATGCGGAATTAAAAAAGCTTTGTTCCTCACTATAAGACCGTGGACAATCCCGAACAGCACGACCAGAGCGAGTGACGTTGTAAAAACCGAAGCGGAGTAGGTCTAGAAGTAACGCTATGCATTGAAAATCATACACTTCGTACATCCACGCCCCAGAGTAAGTTTTGTGGCTACAAACGATGAAGAAAAGGAAAACTCTGGTTTCTTATCAAGAAGAGTAAAAGACAAAAACCTTTTCGAATGAATCCCTCTTAAAAACCTGTTGGTTGATACTGAGCTCTCCTAGTATTTATCCTAAGCGTTAGTACCGCACCGTCGCCGGGTCGGCTGTTCTTGCCAGCCGGCTCCACTCCCATCTAACTGCGGCAGCTTCTGCCGATATTTTGATTTCGAGGATCCTTCTTGATCACGTCTTCCATCCTCGGGAAAATCGCTCGAACCTCAAAACTCACCTGAACAAACGTAAGTGGAAAGACACAGCAGACGGTGGACAATCCGGCTTGGATCATTGGCCATCCAACTGTTCGTATGGTATATTCAAGACGTTGATGAGGACCTTCCAACCGCACTTCGACAATTCGTCCTTTCTCAATCTGGCTTTTGGTATCAACCTGAACATCTTTGATTGGATAACCTAATGCCGCCCCCTGCTAAGTCCCACCCTTTGCTGCTTTTCCTAACAATGGATTAGGACGACCTCTAATAGAGTTAGAAGTAAAACAGACCTGAAAATGGTAGGCAATGTGAGCAATGTAGTCGACGCTCATTCCAATTGTCATCAGAAGGCATGCCATCAGAATCGGATCGAGGTCGAACGACATTTGCGACATGAAGCCGATCACACCTCAAATTCAGTTGGCAGCGCATTGAGCTCTGTCACCCAATGGGCCAGAAATAAACTCAAAAAATGCCAAGAAAAGGGGCCCTCGAACGAACCAGTACTGATCGAAGCAATCGATATACTTGCTGTCACAACACTGCATACGTTAGGCATGAAAACAGAGCATACGATAGTCATGGAAAGCAGGGTGAGCAGAGCGGTCTAAAAAATGTTTTTTGAAAGGCTACTGAGTGCATCACAACCACAAATCGTGAAAGCAAGCGTGCGGTTGCGCAGCGGCTGAACACGTATTAAGCCCACCACGCCCTCACTCCTCATGTAATGCTGCACCTCAGAATTACCTGGATAGTGACTCTTCTCAAACTCAACATCTGATCGACAAACATTGCTCCCTTTTCATATACAGTCACATTCAAATCGGGATACCTGCAAACTTATATTATTATAGAAAGGCTTGTTCAGACACCCATATGAGGACTCATTCGGGACCGAGCCATATTTGCAGCATAGGCCGCCGATGATGTTTATACCGCGGTGGAATGGCAATAACACTTGACGAAAGAGCTGTCGGCCATCCAAAAAAATGAGGACTTTATGTATTCCACATGCATTTATTGACCCCTACCGGGGAGTTTACGTTAATGAACACTGGACCAAGTCGAAAAGTATCAACAGAGGGCTTGGGGGAGAAAAAAAGATCACAGCACTCCACCTGTCAACGATGTTCCGCCAAGTGGTCAGCAATGATATCCGGATATCCCAATCCGTAACTTTCGAATACACGACGAAAAATTGAAACGACTTCACCAGGATATCTCCTCTTAACATAATCAATAATGACAAAGAGATGAACAAAAAAAAAGCCCCCAGGACAGAACAATATAACTTTATGTACAACGGAATTAAAGTCTAACCGATACTTACGAAGGGGAGGGAAAGCGAACGACTGCGACTACCCTCAACGCCCAGATAGTTTTCTCAAAACAACTATTAATATGTAGGCAAATCCATGTCTCTACACTCTGCGTCAGCTCAGCACTGACGATCAGGAGCAAGAGAAGAAAACCATCCCCACAAAACATGTTGGGCCACGGATGGAGTCATTTTGGTGCATGGTGAAGAAGGCCCGTCAGAGAGGCATTATAAATACTTTACACACTAGGGATGATGATACTTCCAACGAATCCCAATTGCAAGCGGCAGCGGTTCCGCTGTTGCTGCCATAATCTTCTGCAGAAAATTCACACCTTCAAAACACCGCGCACGATTGTGCGTGATCGCGTGCGGCGAGCGCGACGCGATCGTGGAGAAGCACCCACAAACACACTCAAGAGGTTATAGCGACGACATTTATGCTCGAATCTTCAATTTGAAACAAAGATGGACTTACGAGATGTTCGCCCACTTCACAGACATGTCATAGTGATAACGACTCTTTTTGAGGAATTCTAATAACTTCTGGGGGTCAAACTCTGCCTAAATTTAGTTAAACCTCGATTTCGAACCTTAGTTCTTCACCTGATCGACCAAGTCAGATTCAGTCAATCAATTCATTCGAATGCGCCACGCATACGAATGTTTTTGAAATTAGAAAGCTATAATAGTTAAATGTCTGATAACATTAACACAACTTTTACAAGAGCACTTCCTATCCACTGTCATCTCCACTGTTGTTAACCTACCTCATAGGGGTAAACGTTCTTGGTGTTATTGCCCTGATGAGCAAAATCCCTTAGCCACACATAAGAGGAAGCAGGCCCTGAAGACACAAATGAACCCATTAAAAGTATAATTGGCCAAATTCCAGGCATATCGATCGAATCTCGACAAGTATAGCCTCTATTAATCGTAATCCATTCAAACCTCTACAATTGTCGATCGATTCCAGTTCTTTCAGCATGTCCCAAAACTGATTTGTCATATGAACATCGCTTAAGTCGAAGTACGTGTTGACAAAAAATTTTGGAGTAAAGTGCTGATCCCAGACTATAATAAAGTCTATAAAGTCACTGTGTCCATACTCGGAATGAGGTGCGGCCGCGACGCGGCATAATGGGTCGATAGACGCCATCCTGTCGCGCCGCAACGGCATGCGTCACGTGTTGCACTTGACCGTGAGCTGTCAGAGTGATATGGTAACATCATTGAATTATTTCGATAAAGTAAAGTAATAATAAGTAGCTACCGTATTTTTCAAGGAGCGAGTATGCTCTATGGAGAGGAGAATCCAGCGGTAAAATCTTTGCTGCATCCAGACGACTTTTCATTTTGATCACACCGGTTATTGCAAAATACCAGTAAATAAATAGCACCACAAAAATCAACCCGGCGGGGATTTTCTTGCTCAATATTTTGCAATGAATGCGTACAACGGTTTCCAGCACAGTATTCAACTGCAATACAAAAATTCATGATGAGAATAGTTCGTCAGACAATTGGAATCCTGATACTCCGCTGCGCCCTTCCATCCTACCTACCACCACCACCACAAAGAGGGGTGGCAGTACTTCTCCCCGAAATTTCGCGACAAGTGGCGGTGGTTCCGCTGCGCTACCGTATTCCTCCTAGGAAATCAAACTTGTCATAACGCGCGACTGCGCGCGATCGGAAGCGGCGAGAGCGACGCGATTTTCGGGGAGAAGATACCACAACCCATGTATCCTCCTCCACACCAACCGACACTGATTACTTTTGCCTATAAGTTCGTAGAAAACTCGTAATCGATTCTAGAAACAGTCAATGTTTTCACCTTTTTCCTCCAACCTTTGTTCTCACTATATCGCATATCGTAAGGCTTTTCATATGACGTTGCAATCGCAAGAATGGGACCGAACAGAATCACTTGAAAGACAAACGTCAAGCCCATCGATAGCGCTGTACCAAGGCAGAATATACGTATCTCTGAAATGACAGTATCTGGACGAAATGGATCTCGTCAATATGTGGCCCTAGAATAACTCGAGCGGCCCGAGAAGACCCATACCCACACCAAGCCTTTAAAATGGGCTTACATCCCATCGTTCAATGGGAAAAACTTACCTGGAGTGGGTGTCAGCGCACCGATCCCAAACGAAAGAACGTTCGTGACTGAGGCGATACCGATGCTAGGGCCGCATTCTTCGTAAACTACACCTGAATGCAATTATGGGACCACTAACGAATTCTGCAGGCTTCTCTTACTCCGGCACTATTGCCAAATGGGTCAAGAATGGCGGGTCGGAGTGGGCTTGTTCTATTAAGCCTCTTCCATATGCCCACGTGCTTATACGGTATCATTGGTTGTTTGTTTTGGGCGTGTTTATTTGTTTACATATGTTCCACATTTGTTCCAAAGAATTAATGTAGTATATGAATTATTGGGAGGATACCTAGTTTACTACTTTATAAAGCTGAAACAACATCGACTCTTTAACAGCACTTGGCGAACATTCAGAGGTTTGGGAGCCTTTCCTCGAGAGACCGACTTGCAACGAACGCCCTCCATATTGAATTTGGATCGAAAAAATATTCACTCAGCCTCTCTGGGACAGTGTAGTTGTGCCTTATCTGCTTCTGCCATGAATAAACCATCAAAAATGCCGCGTCGACGCCTGAAGCAGGGTTTTCAAAGGATCACTGGGTGAACAGAACCGTACGTGTGGGTGTCGTACTTGGCGAGCCGCACCGTGTTTGAAAGCTTAGATTTCCGCTGCTGACAAAGTAACTGATCGGACGGAGGCGTGATTTCAATGCCTCATTCGTAAAACTCATGAAGGGGAACCTTTTAGAACGGCTCACTACTTTTTTTTCTCAGCGAGTCTCCGCCCCTCAACTCAACCCTTCCCAAAAAGGAGAAGGACAGTTATTTCCTCTGGCAGTAAACAAAAACATACCAACACCAAAAATAAGAAATGGCATCACGAAGAGCAGCGAATTAACTCGAGATCCTGACATCGTCACGATACCATAGGTGCAAGTGATGGCCAGTAAGGGACATAGTGTGGCACCAATGCCTACAAATCTGAAAGGGGAACAGTACGCAACCAATTTTCTGACTTCTGTATCAAATAAGAAAACTCATGAGTGACTAACATTTTCCCTTTATCTACAGCGTGATAATAAAATGCACTTGAAAATACACAAAAGGCTACGAAGGATATCATAAAACCGAAACCTGCAAAAAAATCGGATCAGTCACGGGTGAGCTTGAGCACTTCACCAACCACAAGGCGCTCAGAAAAACAACAAAGAGCAAAAAACGGAAAACGACCCAAGTGCGCAACATGTTACAGGTTAGCGCGCGGTTGCGACGCGGCTGACTTGCTGTATGCGCAGTAGCACGCCTCGATTTGTGGCGCAGCTAACTAAGACTACCAAGTACCTAATCATTCATAGTTAGCGATGAATATGGGTGTTTGTGTTCTGCCTGAGAGTTTGTCGGATATGAGGTCCACTACATCCATCCTCTTTGAAAAGGGGAAATCAAATTTTGCACTTTAAAGGTGATATGGTGGATACATCGTCACGTCATCAGTACCTCTTGACAACAGAGATCGATCCATCGATTTCTCGGGTAACTGAGTATTTCTTTCTCGAATATTCACTGCCTTCTCGGGAAACTCCCGGCGTTGCCTTTTCTACAGCGCGCTGGTTCATCCTTAGTTCTTCATCGACGTGATTCCATGCCGAATTTCGAACGGAGAACAGTAGAAACTAACCACAAGTCCTGCCAAAGGTGGCAGGTAGGAAGATAGACACGGCGGCTGTCGAAGGTCACGCATGTAGAAGACGTAGATGACTCTCTCACTGCCCTTCCAGATGTAGCAATAGTTGCGCTACGATGTAGAAGGCAAGATGAAGTTGTAACTGGCGAAGCTCCAACGGGCATTGTCAATGCTCTTCCCCGCTTATCCCTTCAGTGTTAATTGCCGCTCTTCACTCTTTCACACCTCCCTTGGCGGTTCCCTGCACAGCTTCACCTAGAGGAAGGCAGACCTTAGGTTTAGTGGCATAGGCAACGGGGAATTCCAGAACAGCCAACCTCGAACCCTTAAAGACCCTATATATCAGTACCAGATTTATGTGAAGGAGCCACCAGTCACCTTATGAAGGATGTTCTTTACTTCAGTTTTTTAAGTAAAGGTCATATACACAGGCAAACATAATGGGAAAGCAGTAAGTCTGCAACTCTGTATTTGCGTACTCTTTGAATTCTCTGCTGTTGTTTACAGACGACATGTTTACGATGGTTTTCAAAGCTGTCGTCATGTCGCGGCTGTTGAACTCTGAACCTCTATTTCGACCACGAAAGAAACGTGCTGTGTTTACAGCGACATGTGACTGCAAAACAAAGGCGCTAGTCTTTTCCAATTGAGTGTTTCTACTCCTTTATTTTCCTTTTTCCTGATAGATTTCCTAATAGATTTGCTCAAGTATAAACTCTCCCCAATTACTGTTTCTTTACTCCGAAGAAACCTAAACAAAACACGAAAAAAGTAAATAAAAGCAGCGCTCAGTCTTGTTTACTGGAACGGGCGCTCATCGATCGCAGCCACCACTTTGATATGAGCCCATTTGAGAATCGAATACTGACATAAACACAACCTCGAGACTAGATTAGATACGAATTACCCAGAAAGAATGCGATTCCTACCGTTCCATCCACCGAAGTGCCGTAAAATAAATTGTGTATTGTGTAATACAGTCAATATTCTTTGTTATTCGCCCCTTTATCGCTTCTCGCTCGATCGCTTATTTTCTTTTTCTTAATCACTTCGAGTCTTGATAATTCAAATGGCTCTTTGAAGGCTTTAGATTAGGAAAAAGATAAAATAATTTTTTCTGAATAACGGAGCTTTTATATTGGGTTTCAGAATGCTTCCACTGACGGGGTGCTCATTAATCGTCCATGCGGTCACTCGTCGTGCTGTTCTATCCAAAGTTCCAGCACGAATGCTCTCTGATAAGGTGTCGGATGCGTACAAATCCACTATAAAGGTACCTAGCTTGCATTTTTGACCTAAACGATGCTTCAGTGCCTTCATTTCTAATCTTTAATTCTCTTAGAATTTTGAAAATAGAAAAAAAGAGAAGATGAAACTATTATAACTGCTGTCAGGGAAGCTAGAGATTTAATTGCGTGCTTAATGTTAGTTGACAAGAGATCGATACGTATGTTTTGTACGGACGCTAGAGGTCAAGTCGCGAAGTTTAGCACTATCTTTGCCACACCCCATGGACACTACTGGATTGACCTTCCTCGATTCCGTAAGTTTCGACCACTCGCTTTAGACTGTGGTGGGAAAAGGCCAAATTCCCTAAAGAGCCACCTTAGTGCCAAAATAGTAATAAGCCAAAGTTTTGAACTCGGTCCTTTTTGCTTGGATTAAGCCATTCCCGAATTTCCATCTTTTATTGAATCGGAATTATTCAGACACCGCCTGAGACGACCGCAAAGGATGGAACCCAGCATGCCTCAATTCCGAGGTATGAAGAACAGGTGAAGTCTGATAGGCTGCATGGCGTGGATGAGGGTGAGTTGTACTTCTCCTACACTCGAGGAGACTAAAGGCATAGTTCACATACACGTTATCCCTTCCAAGCAACTATTGTTGTGACATTCTCGTGCAATTTTTAATTTACTTTCACAAGCCCTATATTTTTTACGCGCAGATTTTCGTACTTTCTTCGCCACTTTTGCGCTAATCGACCTACTATTTCCGTTCTACGCTTAGAACGATACCCAGAATTATTCTGAATTGTGCCCTCAAACCAATGAAGAAAAAGCTCAACGATTACCTTTCCAGCTAGTGGCATACAGCCAACGAAGTGGCAGAGACACTTTCTGGTCATGACGAGATTATACAAAAGTCAGAGTGAAATCCCGCAATACGTTGCGTAAGTAGTTTCTATATGGATTTATTTCCCTTCCACAAGTCGCCTTGTCCAACTGAGCTCGTGAAAGCAGCTCGTGAATGTTTATGGCGAACAACGTCCAATTAGCGCTGATGATAGACATAAGATACTGATTTTCTAGTAGGATAGGAATGCTTTTCCAGTATGGGATAAGCTAACCGCTCCTGTCGTACCATTGCATGCCTGTTTCTGGCCATAGCACGCCCTATAAAGCATGGACGCAAGTGGGAGATGAGGAAATACTAGGCTCCCAAATTCCGGTGAACTGGCTCGTCTCCTGATAAATACCTTGTTTCCTTTTTATATCAGGTGTCCCTCTATCAGGTGTCTAAAACGGAGGCCCACCTAGCTAATAATGTACAAAAGACCTGCAGTTCGGTATCTTGGTAGCACAATACACCCAGTATATTGATTACCGCACGCGGGACTAATGCGCTGCGGCAGCAGTATGTCGCTAAACGCCCTTCGCAAACTTTGAACGCATTTTGCCCTAACCCACTTTTTCATTGCTTTTCAGAACTTCTACAATGAACCGGATGCACAATCGAATGCGTGCGATTTGTATTACCGCAGCTGTGGTGATATTCTACATAATATTCTCCAGCGCACGAGCCACTACAGAGAGTAAGATAATCGAAGATCGTGAAGCTCTGCTGGCCGCGACATCGAAGGAATGATGGTCCTCCCATGGAAAAAGGCGTTGAAGCGTTCTGTATATTCTTTTTAACTGAATAATACTTCAGTTCAGGTGAACGCTTGTCACAGTGATTATAGCGCATGGTTAGGTGACGCCATGTGTTTTGCTTAGTGCATAGGCTATATATAATACCGGCTGATAACACTACCAGTGATACAACTCGTGATATAACCCTATTTTGCAATATTTTACAGAGTTTTCCGTGTATTATAAATAATACATATTAATTTGAGTTGTATCATGTTACATCTGAAGAAGTTAACGAATCTGATATTAGAAGGAAGGAAATTTTCAGACATAAATCTATCCTGTTTGTGATGCGCCCCGCATTCGGCTTTTAGGCAAAAAGCGTTCGAGAAAAATGGATGCGCTTCGTTGCGCGCGTCCGTCGAAACTAGGTCACGCCGCAGCCGTCGCATGCGGCGGGTCAGCCCGCGATATTTGACGGATGTCGTAGTTGTCAGTGGGGCATACCATTTGCATTTGGTCCACGGCAGTCACCCAAAGAGAAGATAACACGACAAATGCAAATTATTTGCCCCACTGACACTTGGTGGTACTGCAATGTCATCTCGAGACCTCAAAGGGGTGCGCTGTGCGCGAAGTGGGCGGAGTGACCTATCTTCGAAGGACACGCGTAACGGACGTTCTTCGAGAAAAATTGCCCGCAGATTTCTGTAGTAGATAAGGAAGCTCACCGAAAAAATAACCTTTCCCTGATTTGTCCTCAAAAAAGTGTCGAGTACCTACAGAAGAAAGGCGATTACGCGTTCTCTCCTTTTCAGCCAGTAAACGACGCTGCCAAATTACTGTCAGATTCATTCACCTTCACTGTAGGGATGACCGCAGACAGACTAACTTTCGTCTTCCATACAGGAGTTCAGTCATTCGTCTAGGAAAAGTGGAAACCACATGTTCCCACAACTGTTTCGACGTCTTCTGCTTCGGTAGAATACGGGCGAAGGTCGAATTGGTAACCACCGTGCATAGATAGTTTCGGCAAAATTCGAATAAAAGGGGTTTGAATAAACAAGACTCAGTAGTTACCGTTGAAGGGCAGCCGTACTAGGCTGATCCACCAATTTCTTAAAAGGATCTTTCCTGCAAACCCTAGAACCAGGTAAGCATCTTTCATTGCATCGCTGCATTCTCCCACAACACGATAAGCGGGCCGCCAGTCAACAGAGCTCTCAAGTTTCTACCCTTTTGTACGAGAAGAAAACACTATAATGATAAAAAAGACCGTTCTGGCTCAATGGAAACTGTTCAAAAACCACCCACCTCCACCAAAGTACGGTGATAGTTTTGTATTGGCCTTGTTGATTTCCATATTGAGTATCTCGGTACCAAAAACCTAACAAAAAGTTGATCTAATTGAATACTATATAAACATCGAAGCGAGAAGCGAAATTTCACGCCGGTGGGGTTTTATAATAATTGGTGATCTCCAAGTTTCGGAGGGTTCCCTAATGAGTCCCGCTCATATCCCAGCGTTTACAAAAGACGACAGGCCTCGCTGAGTGGTGTGCGGAAACTGATCGGGATTTAGTTTAAGCTTCTTAGGGAGGTGATTTTATTTATCTATTCTATGTATATTTATAAATAAAAACAAATGAATATAGAAATAAGTAGAATGATTCGAGCGAAACTAACGAGTATTTCCACCTAGAAAACCAACCAGGGCCAACCAACAAAAATCCTATTATCCTAGAATGCAGTTCAGTTGATTCTTATCAACCCAAAAATCCATCATGTCCCAACAGTACAAATCTTGAGAACTATTAAATTGAAGGTAAGAAACTAGTAATGAACATACAAGGAACTCGACCAGTGATCCATCCGTGTAAAGTCCTTTATTGTACTGATGACTGTATTCGTATGCAGCCAGCTCCCATAACAAGAAATCATCAGCCTTTTTCTCCGTATCCTTATTCCCATACAGACTTACGACAATCATCTGCAATATTGTTGAATGAGGATCATCAATGAAGCAGAAATTGCGGAGCCTAAAGGGAGCAAAATATGCGAAAATGACGCAGGCGGTCGCGTAGCGGTCTGTGCTACGACTTCAGACGCTATACTCACCCGACGAGCCCACGCAGGACTTAATTATACTACAAAAATAGAATGGGTTCTTTCAAAAAACAAAGGACTCACCGTCACATGCTCCATATTGGTGATTTGTGTTTCGATTGATTGGTTCTCTTTAAGAAAAGCAAAACCCAGAAAAAAGTCCTGAAGAACTCATAGCTCGAGAGGTGGATTCCCGGAGCTGCTATACTTAGCTCATGGTGGTCAGCACATGGGAAACCTAGGTAGTGACCAAGCAAGCTGCTCATTCATCGAGTCGGGGATTTCATATCGAAATGAAAACCTTCTATGAGCAAAGAACAAACAAAAAAATCCGCTTACATCTTTTTCGAAACTTGAATTGCTCAGACGAACTCCAAACAGACACTGTTCAAAGGGAACAGGAGTACCCAAAAGATAACCGATCGGATAGGATAAATTTAGAAATCTTGTTCTAATGCCCGTCAAATTAGCCGCTTCATATGCATTACTGAAACGTCGCTGCAAAAAAATATTATGGGGGGAGGACGTGATGGGTCGCGCCGCGTACATCTGCCCAATCGATATTTGGTCAACCATTTGGATGAGTTTGATTACCTTGAATATGCTGAAAACTTCATCTCCAAAACAATGGGGTTCGCACATTTTGTCATAGATCAGACGACGTTCGCCGTATTTCATGGTTATGTTTTGGATACTCTTGATGATATAAAAAGCCTCATCAAGATATTCTTTACGATGCATCGTACCGCCATCCTTCGCCAGTATCAACACCGAAGTCATCATTGGATCATCTGGAACAGGCACCCAGTGAACCGTGAAAATCGCCCTTAGAATTGGGCCTATATTGGTTCGACAAAAAGTGCGCGCATGTTAAAGGCGATAGCCACCGCATACCCAGCAAGCTTACACCAGCGACCTAACCCGATACGAATAGACAACAGCTGAAAGTTCCTCTCATTACAGTTAACACTTGAATGCCAAGCCTCCACAATCGATACGCATGTTTTGCATTGGCAGTTGAACAGCAATTCCGTTGAGTATGAGCAGATCCAATTTTTCCTTGTACTTTTCTTTCCTTCCTCTTAAGTAATCTCGCCTCTTACCTATAGCACCGTAGAACTCTCGAGCCACCTGCGCTTCATAGCGTGATCTTGCATCATAAGCCGTATAGCCTCCGCTCACGTCGTCTCGAAGTTCTAGTTTATACATGCCGTAAGAAGATAGCGATAATAACATCTTAATTCCACAAAATTATGGAATGAAGAAAATTCCATGTTTATTGTATTGAAGAAAAAAAGTCGAGATGTATTAAAGAAAATGAAGTCGAGATGGTTCGGGAGCTAGGTGCTATATACACCCAACCGGCGTCTCCCTCATCGGGGTGGAAAATGCTACAAAACTCGTCCAAGAGGATGAAACTCAATTTGAACATAGGTCAGCTGCAGCACGTCATTGCAGAAGCCACACAAAGATTAAGCCCCTTGATCACGACGATTTGAGTGAATACACCCCGTTTCGAGATGCCCCCTCCTTCAGTGCTTTCACCCTCCCTAACAGGCAGGTACTAACTAGCCGACTCCGTAAGAATGGGAGCTTGGTCAGCCTGAGCAGATATCGATCCTGGATTCGATCCCTGGATGATGCTCAAGTGATAGTGTGCTACTTTCACTACGTTACTACCGATCCTCGGGAGTATAGCGGGGGTATCTGCGCCCGTAAATCCTCATACGGTTTGGGGAGTCGTTCGAGAGGAATGTAAATGACATACCGAGAGCAACAGAAACCAACGAGGATGTTTCCCAACGCAGCGGCCATATCGATTGAAATGTTTTCGAAGCGAAAATAGCGATTTCACTCGCTTCCACAAGTTGTGTCGGGCCGACGTTGCTGAGATATTGGAATCAGAAACTTGGCACTAATGGCGAGCAATCACTAATGGGTGCATTCGCCCGATGGGCGATGTTGCGTGAAGTAGTGAGGCTATGTACATGATGATGGTGCCTAACTCCATAACCGCATGATGGAAAATTGTCGTATCACCCCTATCTATCAAGCACAAGGCCATGAAGCGCCGACGTTCACCTCTTGTTCGTTTCCGGATAGTACGTCTATAGCCTATGGCCAAAAAAATCCCGTCGAACGAGTTTTTCGCGAACAACCTACTGTGAAGGTGCTCAGGAGGTAGAAAGTTCTTATCCAGAATCTCTCTAATTTTCGCATTTCATAAGAAGACTGTGCGGCTCTATAGGTTGTTTATAAGGAAAGCGCTCTCATTGTGAAAAGGATCTCGCTCGATGGCTGATTCGATCTGGTGCATGGGAAGTCGACCTTTCCATGCACGAGATCGACCTGGACATTTCTGTATGTTCTTAACTCTTCACATGTCAGCCTTATTATGGATATTAGGGTAGTTTAAATTAGGAACGCCTCTGAGCGAAAAAATAAAGAGTCCTTGTGGTGCAAAAATTGAGGCCTCTAAGGAACACCCGTCCACTGTTCCTAATGTCCACGCCTCTGCAGACCACGAATCGATGGTATGCCGTCCGGCTTCGCTTTCGCGTTATTTACACCCTCACAAGTAACCATCACTTGTTGGCTTATAAAATGAAACTACAGACCGATGCATTGCAGGGAGGCTTAAGTAGAAGGAGCGAGTTGTTGATGTTTCTCAAGCGCTGGCCACGACCCTGCCCTGTACAGCCCTGTACTCCAAAATCTCCCGAAGACCTTCTACTGCTTTGGAAGGTATGTTGAAAACAGCTTATGCACAACACATGCATTCAAAACGAGCAAGATACAAAGCAATAGTAATTAGGAAATTGTTCTTACCCTGTTTCCGCCTCCCAAGATCCCGGGCAGATTGACCCGGATTCACTCGTGCAGGACCTTCCTAAATTTCACATTGGTAAGGATCCGTTCAGAAATTCATAATTAGGTGACAGTAACATACTTTCTGCTCAGGTGGTAGCAGCGGTTTCTTTTCACTAACATCCTTCCCCTTCATACTTCAGACATACGGGAACATTTCGAGATGCTGCTGACTGAATGAATGCTTTTCGGCTCTCATTGTAGCTGTTTATAAACCAAGTGTGATAAAACAATATCACTAATCAATCGATATCATGAGATACATAAAACGCTGGAGGAGATTGCCAAGAAGGCACAGGCCACATCTTTGTGGTAGAAATTCTATGGAAGGATGAAGACTAGGGAAGCGAGATCAAATCCGAGCGGAAAAAGGTAGCACGTACCTCATTCCATCCTTCGATTCTCTCAACTAGTCAATGCATATCGGTTGTTTGACTAAATATCCTGGATATCCAGTTCGTTTGAACGATCTTCGTGACCATTTCCTAGCGCTGATCTTTCCATTTTCCGAGGGAAATCGAAAAAAATCTGCCTTATTCTCATTCCGTGCTTTTACTGAGGAAGGGTTCTTGAAATCACAACTACTTGGTTACTACAAATCTTCTACTGTAAAATCTAACAAGTATGAAACTCTTTGGCGTAGATCAGTCCCATACTAGGCTGCGCTCAGCACTCTAACTCCATTCAAAATCTTATAACGCTTTGAATACTTGTGTGGCCTACAAGATAAGGTTCAAAGGTCATCCAGTGTACAGATAGGTGCTTGTATCCTCCCAAAATAGTTTGAGCCAATCCCAGAGAATGATAACCTGGTAGTTGGAGATATCAACCCTGGACTGATCCCGGTTCATGCGAGTGATAGTATGTACGCCATTAGGCCACATGCTATACTACCTCCGACCCCTCTACGTGTACCACCTGAAGCAATCACCTTCAATTTTTGTGGTATAGTTTATCCCTTTCGCAATCGAAATTTACGACGACCCAGACAATGATCTGACGCGCCACGAAATCACACAAATCTACATAAAGCAAGGCTTAATCCTCTGGTTGCTTTCATAGTTCACGATTTGGCTCGCGAGCGAGCGAGCGATCAAGCGTTTGGGGCGGCGCTTGCCCGCGGTATCGACCAAGATTCAGTGGCCAAACGCCGCCCCAATCGCTCGATCGCTCGCTGGCGGGTCAAATCGTGGACTATGAAAGCAACCTCTCTCCAGTACGCCCCTATCCCCACCTACTCTATCCGACATATTCTCAGATTTTCTGCCAAAACTATTTTGAGCTATGAGTTTCTTTTCACGAAAAAAAAAAAAATCGGAATTTGAGGCCGGTATTATCACAACAATTGATCATTATTATTCATATTTATTACGGCTGGAACCACATCCCTTACAGTTTATAAATACGTACATATCACATTCAACGATGCACATTCCCATTACAATAAATTCGCTATCATCTCTATCAACCAACTATCACAGTGTGTTAACAATAATAAAACTCTAAAACTGTGACCACATTCAAGACTTCATTGATAGAGCACAATGGCATTTGATCATTATCACTGAATAGATAGGAAGTTTGCGCGAGTAAAACAGAAAACGCCTATTCCGGCAAGGAATTTCTCAGCCAACCCCTTCAGATGCTGGAATTTATGCAATCACAAGACTATATACGGCAATTTGATTCGTTAATTCCTTGTCAATTTCGTTGATCAATCTAAGGTCGTTCCTGAGGTGGATGAGCTGCGGAGTGAAAAGGTGCATGTTGGTGTGTAGGAACGTAAGTTTGATGGTGTGTCTGAAAATATTCAGTAGAGGACATTAACAATGGAATCATGGGCCCCAATTCGACGTTCTACTGTTGTTTTAAGATTTTTCGCGGCCTAGTTAAATAAGAAGAGCTATGTTGATCAGGGTACATCATATCATGTTCCATGTGTGCGGTACCTTCTCCAGGGAATCGCGCACGATCGCGCGCAGTCGCACGCTATGAAGAATACCCAGTGGGTAGCCGTGAGAGTTCGGGGAGAAGTATTGCCAACCCATTTACCATCAGCACATGTAAAGGCTATGAAAAGGGAAATGACATCGTAAGAGGTAAGTAGGTGTTCAAAGTGCTCCATAAGGTAGTCAAGCAAATAAATTAACAGAAATAGTAACAGATTACATAGGTCCTCACCAAATCCGAAACTTGGGTAAACGCGCTGTGCGGTGAAGCAATAAGTGGCATCGATGGTAAGGGCAGCGGATTCGCCACTGAATACTGCTGAAATTGTGGCGCATTTCTCAGATGCCAGAAATATAATTCAAAAACAGCTGGAGAGAAACGAATTCTATTCTCAAACCAATACCAGGGTAGGCTGTGCAGACGACGAAGTTGGATATTGCGGAGGAACTGAAATAGTTAAATTACATTTGTTACATTAACTAGACGGGCCGAGTATCCTAATCAGAGCTTAAAAAGTCTTGAACCAAAGTCATATGGCCAAGATGATAAAGCTGTGGGGCACGGGAAAACCCCACTTTGAAATGGCAAGTCTTCAAAGAAGAAGTTCAGTGAGATATCCTTCACTTACAAAAAAAAAGAACGATTTCAAGCTGTTCTGTAATCTTACAAGTTTTGGATGTTAATTCCTTTGCCCGTACTCCAAGCAAGACTAAACCATAACGTCAAGAAATATAACGTGGAAGTCCATACCTGGCGTAGCAAACGCTTTTGTCAAGTCCGCTTGTGGCATGTACTGTTGATGCTGTTGTTGAAGGTATTGTTGATGTTGTGCATAGGCTGCGGCAGCCGCTGGATGGTAATTCACGGCATAGTTGGTATATTGTTGATATTGCTGCTGCTGGTGCTGCTGCTGCGAGTAGTACTGCGGCTGTGAGCCAGGCGGAGTTGACGATACCTCTTGGTATTGTTGGGGAAGGTGGGATGGTTGCTGTGGGGGAATCTGAGGCGGAGCTTGCACATGCGACGACGATGGGATCTGAAGAATACCCTTTACTTAAATCTGAGCACACGTGGGCTTCTCTCTTCACTTAGCACATTGCTTATTAATTGGTAAACGACTCAAAGCAGAATAAACAAACATGAGGAGCCGATTGGGAAGGTGTCTCTGGGTCAGCTGCATTCGACATCATACTGTACTGTGAGGCGGTACTCAACGGTAGCGATCCAGCAAGAGGAGATGGCACAGATGCTGGAGAAGCCGCACCCGAATGCACTATGACTTCCGTCTGAAAAACTTCCATAACGAGAACAGAGGACCTTGGACAGCTTTATTTATCTTTTTGGCAGAATGCCCCAGCGGATTCGTAAACAACACTTCAATCATGAAAAAATCAAACCAAGAAAATACGCCTCATAAGCCAATTATCGTGAAGGAGCTAATTCAGACCAGTTACGCACTAACACCACATTCTGGATCAGTTAACTTACCAATTCAGGTATATTCACAGGAGCTGTAGTAGGGACTTCCGAGGGCAGAGTGACAGGAGCTGGAGCTGGTTCTTTGTCTGGGTGAGAGTGGTCCAATGATGCAGGGATGGTCGATATGGGCGCTGAGTCAGCGGTTGAGGCTGCCGGTGCTACTGGCGTAGTTGTTGCAAGCGGTAACGATTCCTGCAACAGAACGCTTTTAATTAACGAATGACGAGTCTGTTTTGAGGGAAAATAGGCCATAAAAAAGAACACTCACCTCTGCGGGTGAGGGAACAGCAGGGGCTATTTGAACTCGCGATCCTCCTATTCGACTTGCTGATGCCACTGATGTCAACGACTTCGGCTCTGGATGGGCCCTAATAGTGTTTAATTACAATCATGACTCATATCCCTTTTCTCTGCGCATACTCTGCAAAAAACTAAAACTTCCGTGCTTCATAAAGCACTCCGCATTGCGAAATTCGAAGGAAGACAAATGTTCTACTCAAAAAAGGAAAAGTAGAAATAATTTGCGAAATCGATCGTAAAAATATTAATAAAACAAGGTTCGAAGCATAGAATGAGACCTGGAAAAACCGAGTTTCGAAAGGAAAAGGAGGAGATACACCTAAAAATTTAACTCACGGTGCCACTGGAGGTGGAGCTTCTGGAAGGGTGTCACGGATCAATTGAGGTAACACGTTACCCATCCTATCAACGGTCATCTGGTGCAGTCCTGGCACGGAAGCAAATAGTCCAGTGCTTGCCATTACCAGTAACATGTTCTTCAGTGATTCTGGGACAGCCTGCCGGGTAGAATCATACAAATTCAATCAAATAAGAAAATCCTCAACTATAGCCAAAATCATACCTCATTCAGATTCCCACAACTGTCTATACGCAAGTAACTTTCCATAAAATCTAGCAATCGCAACCACAAACTTGGGAATGATGGCAATGTGGAAAGAGCACTGAAGTGAAGAATCAATTGAAAAGAACCAAGAACATGAAGATAAGCGGGCAAAAAGAAAGTTTGGAACTTACGTCAGGTGATTTAGCAATGTTTTTGCCACGATCTGCATCGCTCGTACTCGTGTATCTTCCATGCCAATAGGATCCATGGCTGAGAAAACGTCTAGAAGTTTGCCCAGTAATGGGAAAAGCACCTAGAACGATCGACATACATCGCAAAATATTTATCATGTCTAGTTTTAGCGCCCAGACTTAAATATTAGGCAGAAAATTAACAACCAAGGAAAAGAGTGGAAGTACCAACTTCTCCAAAACAGGATTCCCACTCAGCAGCTCCCAAATTAGCCATGTTCGTTGGTAGAAATGCTCGCTAAAAATTTGGCTTTAAGGTGGAACCAAGCACAATGATGTGGACCAAAACACAAATAAAAAAACAATTCCTGAAATTTTATGATCAAGAAATCCCTGCATAGCCCCAGTGTTCAATAGTGATCCCATGGTTTTACGAAAGACTATAACTGATTTGTATTGCCTCCTAAAGTCAATTAATCCAGTTTTTGCCATATAAAATTACCATTCTGACTGAAAGACGGACCCGGAGCGTATCCTTTTTCCTCGACTTGCATTTGGAGCTGCAGAAGAGTATGGTTGCGTTTTGGAGCTATACATGTCCTGCGGGGTTACCCTGAGAACACGTCAGTGGTTTCTTGTCCCAACCGCCTGGTACCAACTAATCGACCCCGTTAATAAAGCTTGTTTACCCATGATGCCATGAATTAGAAAATTGATCGCGAGACCAAAAAAGTGTTAGTGTTAGTGTCACCCTTAACCACACCATCTTCGGATCGATTTTTACTTTGCCCTCATTTAAAAAGACACACTCTCCCAAGTGGGCAATTTTTTATACCATTTTGGAGTAATTACAGTAGCGCTCAAAAGTCTTCGGTGAAATGCTTTGACCCTTTTTTGTTCATAATTTTTTTTTCTCAGTAGAACAAATCGCGCAAAATTTGGATATGTTCAACTAGAGCATATTTCATCCTATCCAACAATATTTGATTGCAAAGATGCAATATTCACAGATAGAGCAGAGTGTTTGTTGCGGTAGCAGATTTTGCTAAAACTAAAGTCGTTGACGTCTGCACTTATTCGCACCTTATGTGCGTTTTTCTCATCTATTGTGTTCGGCATTACCGCTCGTACACTTTAGACATGACAAAAAGGAAAGAGATTCTATTATAGAAGGGCCATCAACTGTATTTTCAGTCGATTTTGAGTTCATGCTCTTTGGAATATCTGGAGCATGACCAGATTGCAGGTTAATAGTGTAAATATTCACAATACACCCATGGTGCACATATCGAAATTTCGCATGATTAGATCCAGTAGGAAAGAAGTTACGACTGAAAAGTATGACTGAAGAAGCATTTCACCGAAGACTTTTTAGCACTACTGTAGATGGCATATCCCAAATTGGCGCAGAAATCAACAATAAGACACCTGCAAATGTGTTAACGCAGCCGCTCTGACCAGTCGGCGACAATCGCATCCCAGTCTGGCAATTGCTTGCAAGAGCGGCCGCCATACAGTGCACCATATGTGCGGTATGGACGCGTCGACCTTGAATAACATTAGTTTTGTTTGATTAGACAAACAATATTCTTGAACAAGTATGAAAGGCAACGCACTTCAGGTTGTGATTCTGCCCAGTGGGCTAGAATACCAGGTGCTAAGCTATGAAGCGTCGAGCACAGATCAAGCAGTTGAAGTGAGACCTAAAACAAGCAGGCTCACAGCAGGCCGCGTATAAAAGAAATTCACGGAAAAAATGAAACTCAAAAGTTCAACGCGCTACCTGCTGGTAACTAGCCGTTAGCTGCTGTTCCTCCCGGCGAATCTCACTGTCGTCAACACCCACATCCGTTGAGAGGTCTTTCTGAAAAGCAGCACCATGGTCATAAGTTTTCACACAGCTTGTAATGTTACCAGCCGCAAAAAAAAGCGAATTTAATTAGAATTTAAAAAGGGCGGCCAATGCTGATCCTGCGTCCAACTAATGGGCAATTAAGGCCTCAAAATAAAAAGCATTCAGCATGGAAAGAAAAATCTCACCTTCCCCGGTTTTGCTGCCTTCGTTCTCTTCATTCGGTCATCAATATGACTACGGAGTCGATTTTGCGCATCTCCGCTCAATGGGCCAGCGGCATACCTGGATGTTCCAACACTTTTTTAAGAAAATGAGAAAAACACCAAACCGGTGCGTCGAGATACCAGAATTGCTCTCGAATACACCGTATACTTAGTTCTACTGATTCTGACTTCTCAACCAGAACTCGGGAACATAAAACTACCTTCCGCCATCCAGACTCGCTTCGACCATCGTTCGCAGACACGCCACACACGACTCGAAGTTGTCAGGTGTCACATGGACGGCATCACGGAGCAGGAAGGACAGTGTATCGCAAACCTTGAAAGACAGGGTTTTCAAATAGATTCAAACGATCTCATGCGCGCTCAGGCCCAGAGACAGCATAGAAGTTCGGCTGTTAGTGAGGGTAGGGTATTCCAGAGTAGACATCAAGTAACCAAACACTGGAGGTTAGTCAACGAAAGCTGAGCACCCGTAAGCGGAAGGCCAACCAGCTCCTGCACCGGAATAACCGCACCACTCATTCATCAACAAAACGAGCACTTCTTTGGGCTTTTATAAGTTTGCATCCCTCTAAGACGTTCAATAAAGTGTAAGTTGAAATAATTTTCAATACCTTCAGAAAAGACGCCGGTTCATGTCTACCGAGGTTAGTTCGCAGTACCAGCGAACCACGGGAGAAACCACAGGCTCGAGCGGCATTTCCACCTAACGATCTCAGAGCATCCTCCGTAGCACGACGAGCATCTCGATGGTCCAAATGAATCCATTCACGGCTTTGGTTCAACGAGACGGCACTATCTGCATCTGCACCAGACGCCACTGTGCCAGAAGAATCAGCTGAACAGTTCAACGAGTAAAATTTTTAGAGAATTAAATATACAGTAGTCTGCTGTCTGGATTAAATATTCTGATATTTCTTTATTAAGTGAAAACCACATTTCATTTTGAGAGCATTTGTACAAAAGCTGATTAGCCGATGATCGCTTGTGAATGACATGACTACAAAAAGTACCTCTTTTCGGATCATCGGATGTGTAGCCACGATCGTCCGTCTGTGGACGAGTTGATATGGTTTCGCCATCCGAGAACGCTTGTCTTTCGCCAGTTGCAGATATCTCAGGCTGGAAGCATTAGGTCCTGAAGATTCTTACGAAATCCTTTAGAGTCTTCTTCAAACTCACATGTACGTCATCTTGCAAAGCGGCTGCGCCGGCTGCTTCAAGCAGTGCAAACAGCACAGCCCAGTGCTCTCGACGATGAACGTTAGCTGCGTTAGTTCGTAACAATTCGTGAAGTCCATACGAAATTTGACGGGAAAACACATACATGGCTTTTGGCGAAAGGCGCTCAAATAATTGTATTATAATAAATGAATTATATGGAGTGATATTAATCATAAAAACCGTACCAAAAGCAATGACAACGATTGAAGTACATCATCTGCTATCGTATTGTCTCGGAATAGATTTCTGTTAGCTATACGCAGAAGGCCGACCACAGCACGTTCCACAAGAAGCTGAAAGGTAGGTACTGGATCGTAATGATACAATGACAACACCTAATACCTACCGGACTTCTTCCAAATCGCGCCGACAGCAACCACTCGAGATGTCGACGAACCGTTGGCCATACTAACGAAAGACGATCCTGAATTTCCTACTTATTCATATTAGCATGATCCTCTCGCTGGCTACTTGCGCAACAATAACCAAAGCACCTCGAGTACATATAGAAAAATAAATAATCCAATGATCACCAAAATCATTACCCACCTTATTCTCTAGACATATAGTTACAATAAGCTCTAAATAAAACACTAACGCATCCTCGTCTTCTCCACTGAGAGGGGATCCCTGAAATCATATGAATTTCAAGACAAACTGGCACAAAATACATAAAAGTTTTCAATTTGTCAGCATATTTTAACAGCCCTAGGTATTTGTAGTGATATGAGGGCCAATAGGAAGTCAGTATTTAAAATAAAAATCATTTTTCGAATAAATCACATAACAAAAAAGGTAAAATTAAAAAGACCATTGAATTGACTTAAAAGAAAGTGGATAAAATCGAAAATAGAGTGTAGAGTACACCGACCGGCTTCAACGAATCCGCCTGCTGCACTGTCGCTTGACTTGCATGAATCAGAGCGTTCAGAAGTTCCGACAACGCCGTACTCGTCAAGTACTTGCTGTCGGTGAACAATTGAGAAGGCCGGCATTCGGTAATAACTGACTGAGCAAGCTGAAACAAGGACACAAGAATTAGAACTCTCAGAGGTGCAGGGAACCATGGTAGTGCTACTTTATAAGGTAATCTTCAGGAGAAGGTCGATAAAATAAACAAGTTATTTATTCCACTATGAAAATGTCAACCTTAATGGCATTCTGTTGGTCCTGTGTAAGCTTCTTCCGTTCGCCTTCACTAGCTCCACCGCCGAGACCAAACCATGACAGAAGACCGGATTCGGTACGAACCGGTTGAGGGTCACTGGAATAACCGATAATGACCCATCAAACCCCCACAAATACCAAGCACTTCTCAAATTACTCGTCAAACTTGAAAAGAAGTTGTTAATCTGTAAAAAAATTCTCTCGCAAATTATGTTCCAGCTATCACTTATTGACACTTCCCTATTTTCTTCTATGAGTAACATGAAAAACCCCCAATCTTAAACTCACACAACGTGATCGCGTATCAACGACACCCAGCCCTTCTCGTCAACAAAATCATCTACTTCGGTTAACTCCGGTGGGAGGAGGCGAGCACGGAACAGCTGCAGCAAGCAATCAAGCAGATTCCGCCAGCCCTAAAAGAAAAGAGAACTAGCGCAAGGATCCACAGAAATTCACTCAACTCCACTAAGCCTATCAACAGACCTCTCTCAATATGTCACCACTAGCATGCACCAATTCGAACATCGTCTTGGTCGCCATTTGAGCTTTGCGATTCTCTCCGAACGACACCGCAATTCGCTCATGCTGTACACCTGGCGTTAACTCATTCAGGCTTCGCTGCCGCTGCATTTCCAAGTTATCGTCGCCGTGCCCTAAAAAATCTAGAGTCTCCTTTCAAAAGAATCAGAACCATCTAATCATTGTATCATCCAGAGGTTTTTAATATTCTTGCCTTCGGAATTTGACGCCAACGTGCTAAACTTGCACAAATGAATTATTAGATTATCGAATACGTCCTTCATACCATAGTGGGCAGCTATTGATGCGCATTTGCGGAACCCATTCAATGCTTTCTGAAATAAACCACAATTTTGAACACTGATCGATGATTGATTAATGATCTTTTCGAAATGTTTATTCATAGCAAATTAGCGGTATGTGAAGAAATCGTTACACAGATTAGGCCGCAGGGCAGGAGCAATCCACTGAAGAAGTAATGTTCAAAAGAATACGAAAGTTTAATCAAAATGGTACAGCTCAAAATCATCCTGAAATTTCCAGGAACCGATCGGAATGTCTACAAAAATGAGCTCAGATTTCGTGTTCTATTCAGTAGACCAATTTCCCCTCCACCGAGCAAAGAAAATTGGAAGTAAAAATGCTAGAAGACAGTGCAGCAAAGTGAGGGCATTGTGAGGGTCCAGGAAAAGTGGTCCCCGCCTAGGTGGCCGAAAGCTCTTCTTATATTACTTAAGCTAAAAAAGACGCTCGAAATCGAAAAAACCCGCTCAAATGAAAACGTTGCGAAAGTTCAGCGTCATAGAACGGTACCATTGTATCAGGTATGATCCCTTGGACTTACTGAAAATCGGATGATCTGGCGGGATGGTGGCATTTGGGGTCTGATACCAAATCAAGCTTCTCCACCCCTGATACCATCCATCTCCAATGAGAACACATTTACTAAATACTCAGAAAGAAGCTGTTCTGCCCTTCCAACAACTACTAAAGAACTCTCATGATCTAATGTATTTATAGGCTTACTAGCGAACCTTACCTGTAATATGACGTCATGCTCCGACTTATCGAACACGTAGGTCAATGCTGCCACTGCTGGACCCCATGTTATCGAGAATAAATCGTGATCATTCCAACCAGTTGGGGCATGCTCGAAATGCCCTTCGGCAGATTCCCCACGTCGCAGCAACACCTGGAATTTTTGAAACGAAATTTCGCAGCATACATCTGCAAAGAAAATGTTAAGAAGTGAATCAAGCACCTTCCACAGATAATTTTCCTTCACAATTCCTGTTTGTTCAGCAGGCATCACGATTTCCTCCGATTTTATGGCATTATACATAGTCATAAGCATCTCCGGATCGAAATCTGCTCCACCATTTGTACCAGAAAGATTCCTCTTGAAGCAATCCACTGTCATTGGAGGCTGATTACGACGAACCTGAGATGAGGTGTTAACACTCTTGTGGGAATGTTTTCAGCAAAAAAAAAAAGAACTTACAGTAGGATTATGTTGATCAGTATTCAGCATTATTATGGCATAAGAAAGTGTGAATGCGGCATCGACATGGTTGAATGGCTCATGGTTTGCCTTATACCACTGCTCTGAAGATGGAATAAATAGAAAAACATCCAGATCTTGTGTGTGAGCTCAGGTAGAACCTTCATTACGGTCACTGAGTAATACAAAAAAACTTGGCCTTGACGCGATTTCCTGTGAGGCTGTCATTTTATCATTCGCAATAAATTTTCATGTATTCGCGGAAATCACAAAACAACAGGATGCGAGCCTCAAAACAACAGGTAAGCGAGCTTCAAAAGAAAGCAAAATCTTAACCATTTGAACCTGCCCGGGTAAAGACCTATTTTTTGCTTGACGAATGCAATGGAACCCCTTGCCCGCACGCAACGACAATGGCAAGGAAAATTCAGCCACCGCTTAGGCATCCAGCTTGGACATATTAAACAGGACGATTAGCTAGGCGTAAATACCACTGTAAGTAGTAACAAAAGGCCACTTTCACAATCAATATCACAGCCTGATCTCACCGGAGAAATGCTGCATGACCATACTGATTTCTGCCGCTTCACCAGGCAAACGGAATGTTTCAAGGAACATGCGGAGAGCATCATCCAAACGAGTATTCTCGAATGGAAATGATTGTACAAAGGCTTCCAACACCTACAAATGGCAGTAACTCGGAAGTCAAGTTATAGTCTGAATAGAAAGGAGAGCGAGTAATTTCTACCAACATCAGCATGCTTTCGACTGCAAATATAATCAGCAATCTTCTTTTTGTCAAGCTGTGGATTTGTTCGCAGCCAGTTCACCACACTTTTGGCATCAGCATCCAGAAGTCCCTTTTCACGTAAATATTCGATACCTGAAGCAGCAATTCATACTTCATCCAAGATAGCAAATAAATAAAAAAGAACGAGCCTATTGAAAAACAACAATCTCAAGCAATGATCTACCTTTCTTTGGGCTTTGATTGAAAAGCTCCGTTCCCTCAGCAAATATTCGCTTTCTCTTCTTTTGATCGATGACCTACAAAACGAGCTGAAGAGGATATAAAAACACAGTTTAAGCAACTTATTACGGTACACACACATATCCCACGACATCATAATTGGTTTGACTACGGCAGATCCTACTATTATAAACCGCAAACGTCCGTTTGTCTGTATGTCTGTCTGTTTGTCCTTCCGAAAGTCACGTAGGCACGATGTAGATGTAAATATCACGTGAGCGCGTTGAGGAAACAGTTATGAAATGGGAAGTCAACCGACACTATTGTTGGTACTCTAACAAATCGTAGGTAAGCGATAGTGAGTATAAGGTGCACGCGTTAGCATGCGTGCGTAAGCAACTAGTAAGTTCAGAAAGACTAAACTGGCCCTAAGAGAGAGGAGGCCCTGGTGTGAAAGCTACAGAGCCCAGTTCGTAGTCCGATCTGATAAACGTGACGGTCTGACCTACACGTCGCTCACTGGCCGCATTCATACTAGGTGCCGTGTACGGCGGTCGAGGGCCGTAGACGGCGCTCGAGGGCGGTAGACGGCGGTCTCGGCGCCGTCTACGGCCCTCGACCGCCGTCTACCGCACCACTCGGCTGCCATCCACGGCAGCAGTCTTACGAAACCAATCGATGACAGGTCCCATTGATGACTCATCCTACGGGATGACTGTTTGAGATAATTGTGCTCCTTTTTCTCTTCGCTCGTAGCAGATTTNCGTGCGCGTAATGGTCGCTTGAGCTCATTATTTTTTCACTTATTTTTCTTACCCCTCTTATTTCAATAATTTGTTGTGGGAATTTTTCTATTTCATTTTTTCTAATTTTTCTATTCGAATTTTTTATTTCTATTTTTTCCTGCTCTATATTCTAGTTAGTACTGGTGTGTTATGCGTGCCTTTTTTCATTCTTACTATTCTATAGTATACTATTCACACTTACAAAATCATTATTTCGGAACCAAATGATGTCAGTACTAGCTAGAATATAAAGCAGAAAAAAATAGAAGTAAAAAAATTTATAGAAAAAATGAAATAGAAAAATTCCCACAACAAATTATTGAAATAAGAGGGGTAAGAAAAATAAGTGAAAAAATAATGAGCTCAAGCGACCATTACGCGCACGGAAGATCGGTAATAAGCACGGGACGTGATACAAAATGAAAATCACAACAAAATCTGCTACGAGCGAAGAGAAAAAGGAGCACAATTATCTCAAACAGTCATCCCGTAGGATGAGTCATCAATGGGACCTGTCATCGATTGGTTTCGTAAGACTGCTGCCGTGGATGGCAGCCGAGTGGTGCGGTAGACGGCGGACTAGGGCGGTAGGCGGCGGACTAGGGCGGTAGACGGCGCCGAGTATGAATGCGGCCACTCAGAGATCATGGTCGAATGGGGCAATACACATTTCTTCCGAAACACACAGAAAGAGATTGAGCACACACAGAAAGAGACTGAGCTGCAGAAAAATGCAAACAACACAGCAATAGGAGTTAGATGTGGATGGTTAATTGTAAGTCAGAAAATAGGCGACCATGTTGATCTAGACGGCAAAAAACCGGATAGGGAATTTTGCAAGTGATTCACATGAATTCACAGCAAAAATCGAACTTTTAGGCATGAAAAAATGAGTTCATGAGATAGTTAATAAATGAGCTTGTTGAATTCAGAAAAGATTGGGACTAACACATACGATTTGAATGGAAGCCTTTTCGAGATCTACTGCAGCCAGAAGTTTTTTCTAGACCTATGACAGAACCTATTACAATCAGGCAGGATAGAAAATCCAGAAAAAAATCCAGAAGAAAAACAAAACTGTTAGATAAATCATCACAATTCAGCAATAGCAGCTCCCTACCTGTTCCATTGTAGGCATACGATGTGATGGAGCATGACGATTCGCACTTGGCAGTAGGGTCTTTGGCAACGGTTCAACAACAGCTGAATAAATTATTTCATGCAAATAATCTTCGTGGTGGTGTTGGTAGCTTTGTTCCGCACTCACTTCTTTCTGGGGTGCTGTTACTGAAATCGCTTCCACTAGCCACAATTCGTTGTCCAATCTCATAACCACTCAATATTGGGAGAGGTAGAGCTGATGCGACCTTGGGGCTGGAAACACAGAAAAGTGAAGCTTTTCATGTCCAAAAAGAACGATTGAGTAAAAACATGAAGCCCTCGGAACCCAGCCACCCAAAAGTTAATATTCGCTTCAAAAAGAGAAATGCCCTGGTGTAGTAGACTTCGCATAGTGCTTACACCACAGCCACATTTGCAATAGCCGAACCAACCTAGTTTCTTCCTAATACACCTTTGTTAAGCTCAGCAACAGCATGAGCCGCAGAAGATTGCATTACCGTGACGCAATCAATATATAAACACAGCAACGAAGAGAGAAGGAGTGACACTGACAAATTTACGTTTGAAATTGGAAAATGGAGGGCCCCAAAGGCCATATTTCAGAAACAAAAAGTGAAGCATCGACTACAGGATGAAATGTAGCAATGTAAATATACTGCTTCCTATCTACTGCTTCGAGATTACTTCCAGATAAACTCACTCCGCTTCCGGTGGTGGAGCAACTAATGCAGCCTGGCGACACAAACAATTTTGATCGATCATATCAATAACGACCAGTAACGCATCCAAAGAGATCAACGAATGTGCATGAAGTCCAGACATTGGAAATGCATTCTCCACTAACAGTTTGGTCAGTTCTTCGAAAACGTTGCTATAAAAATCGCTTTTCAGGATTCAAATAGTATGTGAATAGATGATAAATCAGACCCAAATATTGAAAACCCTCTGTTTTGACAATCATCTAAAGAAGTTACCTGCAGTACAGATCGCAGTCGTAATTTAAATACAACTCAGTTACTAGGCCAGGAATTCGCCAGAGCTGCACGATTGATTCCAGCGCCATTTCCTTCTGTTCGTAACTTGTCATGCGCTGAACATCATTTCCATTGATGGATTCTCTCAAAGTTTCATCTCCTATGGTCTCATAACTATCTCAACAACTTTTGAGAACAAGAAGTTAGCATTGTTAAGAATCGGTGCTGAAGCAAAATTCGATAAGGCCAGGCTATCTTATTAGCCTGCCTGAGGGGATCAGCAGACTAGGGTTGGAGATTCAAAGTACTGACAAGAACATGGACTGCCCCCAAAAATATGTTTATGACTAATAGGCAATGAACAAGTGCGAATCGATGGGTACGGGGGAGTATATCAAAATGGAGCTAATCCGGACTCAAAACTTGACTTTCATGGAATATAATGAAAAATAAGCATACTCCAGAAAATATCGAATCTACGTACGAACGAAGCCAGCAGGGGATTTGGATATTGTAAACACTCTCCCACTTTTGATGATGATAGCAAAATCATCAGTACCTGTTCATTGAGCACAATGCCTTTCAGTTTGTGGAAATAAGCTTCTAGCTGGAACTTCAACTGGCTACGCATCGACTCGAATAGTAAGAAACAAGCTCTGTTCGTCGCCGCTAGCACTGGTAGCTTTTCGGTGTCGAGAAGCTGAAAAAATATATACCTTCAGTGATATGTGATTCTCGGGTAGTCTCGCCCTTCTTCAATTCTTCTGACTTTCCCCGTAAACCATGTTATTTCGGTGTTGAGTCGGAGAAAGAATGAAGCAGTTTTCAGAAGAATTCTTTTTCTTCAATTCGTTGCAAAGGGCTTCAATCGCTTTTTCGGTTGCTTGGCAACCCATTTGAATACCTTTGAGAGGACTGCTTCCAAAATAAAGATCTGAACCCTAGAGATGTTTTGCTAAGCGACCGTTGAGAAATGGTAACTAAAATTACTCTATTTGGTGCTGCCTAAAATTGCCACGCAGTGTATTTTTTACACTATAACACTTGAAAAAGGCAAGAATGCTACTCGAGCAAAGAAAATCGTCTGATGCCTAAACGAACAACAACATGCAATCAAGATAGCTTGGGCAAAGAGAAACATCTTGTATGCTTCGATCAGGGATCAAAAGTACCTGGCATATTAGTATTAATCAGATTACAGTCATTATAAAAACAATTCATGAAGTACTCAGCCACACAGAAAACTCCTGGAAACACTTATATGGAAACTAAAATGAAACGAAAAAAAAAATGAAAACCCTACCTGAAGCAACGATCTGCACAGATTATCCTTGAGAAGAGGTACAAGAAAGGAGTAGCTCGCCAGGTGATCCGCGGCGGCCTTAAAAAGCTCTTTGAGCTCTTACAGACGCGAATAAACGAGGTTACTTACTTCCAGCGCGACTGTCAACAAGTTCAATCCTAGAATCACCATTGATTCCGTATTCTGACGATCCAGGGGATTCGAAAGAGCAATAAGAAATCTGAATAAGGAACTGCATTTTAGTTGAATCTCTCAAGAATCAAGCGAATAAAGTACCTGAGCAATTCTCTACAACATGGTAACCCATACGGCATCTGTACAGCATTTCCACTTGGTTCTAATTCATCATCATCGTCTAAAGGAGGTTTTCCGTGAGCTGTAGCGGCGTTTTGCTGCCGAGAGGAAGCTGTCTGAAGACAAAATCGTCCATTACTGTATTTCCTTTTACTGTGAACAATTTCACTTTCAAAAAAATCAAAAGAGGTTATCAATTAATTATTCCCTGGGAATGGATCATAACTTATCAAAGCAAAACGAATGAAGAAGTTTTCCAAAACGAGAGGAGAATATTAAGCTCACAAACCCACCTCCTTCATCGTCAACGCATCGTCTTCTCCTTCACTATCAGCCTCATCGGCCTTTTCTTCCTCCAGACGCCTTTCTTCTAGGGTAGGGTCAGGAGTTGTGACTTTGTCAACAGGTGGATCAGAGGTCAATACTAAGTCATAACCTAAACCGAATCATTGAGAGACCTTGATACACCCCTCAAGATTTGACTGATTCAAATCAGAGAAATTTTACCGATCGGTTGGTAGTGTTCATTGACACATAAAGTACGAATTAACATCAAAGCGTTAGAATCTCAAGAAGCTGAGTAGTACCTAAACTCGCAGCATCGCCATCTGCTTTAACAAGAGGCGTACTCTCAGTAGCGGCAAGGTTATCTGCCGATGCAATTGATGGAATATCACTTCCAGAGTGAGGAATTTTCGGGACGGTATTGGGCTGAACCACTTCAAGATCATCCTTAATAAAACTACTATCTACTACTATACTATTTAACAAAGAACAAGAGGAAACAGACCAAGACGCAGCAAACACCCACCTTTTCACTCTCCGCGTCAGATTCAGTTCGTTTCCGCCTTCTGCGACGTTTCTCCCCTTTAGCATTCATAACCTTAAGGAAACCCAGTTACAACATTCAATTATGACTACTCCTCTTATTTTTCGAAGAGAAAACAGTTGTGAAAAGCGAGAACCGAGAGCATTGCTACTAAATGATTCATGATAAATCAAAACCCTAATAGTCTTAATATACCTTAATACGAGAATAGTATGAAGAAAAAAGTTTCGCCCGACAATTAGCAGAAAACACTGAACTGGACAAGGGTATTTTGATGCCCCAATTTTGTCAACATCCACTTGTTACTGATACAAACACCCTTTCAGAAACACTCTTCGCATAACTCAGGCTGCAACTTCAGGATCCTGTTTAGCAGCTCCCAATGCTACACAAATCAGATCAATGATCATTTTACAACCAACAGATCAGTCAGATGGCGACCCATGAATGAGCCGTACCGGGCCAAAAACAAACTAGAAGCGCTCCTCGAGAGCACAAAAAGCGAGTGAAGACGATATGCAAAATGACCTATTGCCTAAGGTAGACGAGCACACGAAGTTATTATTGAAAAATAGAGAGATTAACAAAAAGCAAGTCTTAAGAAACGGAATGACTGTAGAGTGAGAAAATTCACCAGACGTAAAATTCGAAATTTGATACTTACCAATTTTCTTATATAAGGATGTCTAGCATCCTCATGGAATGTCGGTAATCTAGTGAATATCAACTGCGTCATATCACTGAGCGTAGCTTCGGCAGCTTTTCGCAATAAAGGCGAAAGATGCTGCTCAAAGACGATACGGAAACAGGATTGCATCATATCACATACAGCTTCATTGGACAACAGAGATCCAGGAGGGGATAAAAGCAATGAGCGAAGAACCTATCACGAAGGAAGTGAGAATATACTTTACCGCATCCAACGAAGTAAACATTTACCAATAAAATTTTGAACAGCACGCATTCATCACTGCCGCTGCTCTTCCCTCCTATGAACTTCGTATGAACCACTGCGTAAGCGATCGATTCCACAGCGTTGGCAGCTTTGATACTAAAAAAAACATTTTGACAAAATGGGATGTGAAAAGGACTGACTTTGTTCCAGAAGAATCATAAGAGCACAACCTCACCTGCTAGCGTCAATCAGCCCGTAGCTAAGAAACTTTGCAACTGATGACAATGCCGCTTCCGTTATGGGCCCGTTTGTATTTTGTGCTTTTATGACGTCGAGAAATGGCGACAAATATGTTAAAGGGTTCATATCACCAAGATCTGCTACCTTGAAAAGAAATTTGAGAGGAAAAGAAATTCGAAGGGATGTAATCGCACTGTCGTCCAAAGAGCTTACCTCATTCAAAACTTCCTTGAGATCTGCGAAATTGCGGAGCAGGGGTTCAGTATCCTCAAGAGAAGGTGGCTGATGCGATAATTGATATTGTCTGAAAAGGCTATACTATCGAAGCAGCGCTCTCCACCCCTCAGAAAAAGAAAAATTGACTATGCAAGCTAATGAAGCAGGTATGCTAATTACTTGACAATCAAGATGGGACTGATGATATGAGAATATGAGTTGTCTAAGCTCTGCGGTTGTTTATCTCAACCCAACCTCGAGTCTATGACTTCAGTGACTTCATGTTCTTCATGTTTCGCTTCACTACCGTTTCTTATGGAGAAAATAGATAGTTTATAAAAAACGTTGAGATGGCTGAGGGAAGAATCTGGCTTTCGATTTCTGCCCACAAGAAAAATAGATCAAGGTCAATGAAAAGAAACGATCAGGTCTATCCCAAAATACCAATAAAGGAATGCACCAACATCATTAACACTTTGCAGCCCCTGATTACTAACGTTCATGGAATTCGCAATTCGTTCTATCGACCGGAGGCACAATTTCTGACCCGCATGAAAGTTGCGGAATATACTCTTGCTCGACAGAGGCTCCAGTGATCACAAGAGATGTAAGTCTGACTACGACAGGTCAATGAAACAGGGACAGACTCTTGGGCAGCAAAAAACCGAGCCAGTTTCGAAAAGATCAAGTAGATACAATATGTGCATCAAATGTTTAAAAATATTCACATTAGCGCAAATAGAAGGAAAATCCACCGAATCTTTGTTTCTTCAGAAAAATCATTCCCTGATCTCCTATTTTTGAGAATGCTTTGTCACAAAAAAAATCGGTAAATCATATGAAGTAACAATGGCAATATACAACCAAAAAAAAACGGGTAAAAAGAAAAAAAAAGAACAATAAAGCCGAACCTGCGTGCTTTATTCAGCAGTGCTACCACAGTATTTGCTTCGCCTAAGACGACGTACACGCCGTTGACGGCCATTATGCCGTACTAGTCGATAATCAGGATATAGTCCAGCCAACCTTAATACTTTCAAAATGGGATTCACGAGAATATGCACATTGGTATAAATTACGCGAGAAACAGCGAACAAGATCGAGATCTGGGGCAAGACAAGACATGAAACTGCAAACAACACATTATATAGTTCACCACGGCAAGGACCACTGCAACGACAAAAACGGCATGGGCTGCATCAAGATTTATTTTCAGGATTCCGAAAATGACTGTAAAACTGGAAGGGATGAGCATCTATTTTTGCGAGGTAGTAACCCCATCACACATCGAGCACAGCAGTATACAAAATTATATAAAAGATCATCGCTATGCTCTCGATCAAACTATAAAATTACAATTGGAAATACAATACCCGTAATAATGCTACACAATGTAAAGCGTTCGAACATAATGTTCCAAGCTATGCTTTTGAAAACCTATCAATTGCGAAACTAATTAGTTGCGAGGATAAAATTTCGATTTCGGGGCATCACCACTGGAATTTCGTTTTACATCTTCCTCCGTTTCCCAGAACCAGTGATCTGACAGCCAGCCGAACCTCAAAAACCAATTGTGACCACGTAACTCTCAACAGGTTAACTAAAAACGTAAAACTGATCTACATAAGTAAGTTCAAATACCTGGAGACTGGCCATATACGAAGACTAAGTCGAATTTGAACCAGTCCTAATGGAACAGGACCAAAATGCCGTGAATCTGTAGAAGCCATAGGGTTATCACCCTGTAGAAACACATGCCCACGTGGTACTCGCGAGTTCGGCAAAAGAGGTGAATCAACGGAATCGGCTTCCTAAACAACAGTATGAAACAATAATATGAAATAATGTACTCTAAATTCCTATTTTGCAATAGATCATAATCGAAAGACAAGAAAACTCAGTATTTAACCAATCTGAACCAGATAGGCTAGGCGATAAGACAGAGCTGGTTCAAGGGGCGTTGTGGAATCGTTTGAAAATCGGAAATCGATTAACTTAGAAATCAATGCCGGCTTGATTACACAGCTGAAGTTAGCAATGCCTTCATTTTGAAGCTACTCATGACTACACCAAGGACTAATAGTAAGCACTCCAGCGTTACTGATTAACATTTTAATTTTCCGTTCTGGAAGGCCAACAGTAAATGTAGACCAGCTTCAGAGGATCCATGAATGATACAGGAAAAAACCAAAATTCTATTAATAATCAAAGTTCCCGAAGTAGATTGTTTATGCTTGTCATTTTTTATTTAGAAAATCTCTATCAACAAAAAAACGACACGAACTGCAAACAGGACTCAACTCAAATGAATTTTTACCTTAGCAACCACCCTTTTACATAATAACTGTTCCGGCTCGTGAGGACTCAAACATCCAACAATATCACCGCGATGTATATTTCCAGTGTTCACACCTGAAACAGGATCGTGGTGAACCAACACACTGGGAAATCACTCGAAAAACTGGCTGTTTCCGATTTTTATCATCAAAAGCAGCAATATAAAAATCCGTGAACATTGAAATAGTAGAGCTTACCAACTGACAAATTTGCGTCAAATTATAAGATATTATGTAAAGTGAGGTTAAGTCAAAGAAGAAATCGCCTGCAAAAACCTTTTAGATGTGAGCTTCAAAGTTTGTGAATTACAGCGTTTTTGGAACCACTGCTACGCAAAACCTTCATATAAATCACCCTCCCAAGGAAGAGAGCAGAGCAGTGAACGGACCGAATCGATGGCGCTAAATATTCAGAAGTAACAATTCAAAAGAGAATCTCTATACCATAGCAGCCAGAGAAACAAGCGAACATGGTGAACGTAGTCCTCAAAAAATTAGGTCCAACTCAGCCAGAGTAATAGAGAATTGAATGAATAATGCGAACTATGAGCCGGCCGAGGCAGATTTAAAGTACATGGAGTCTATGTGAGCTACAAGTGAGTATAGTTTACTGAGTAGGCAAATAGTAGTTAAGAAATGTTTGAGCAATCAATGCGCACCGGTTGCATGCGAGGATTGTTGACAGAACGTTTTTTGAATTGTATCCACTGTTAAACGCATCTTATTAATATTTCATGCACAAATTCAATAGGGCACGATGGTAAGTCCTCAATTGAAAGCGATGGCTCGATCCGGTAACCGATTATAGGCTCGACTACATGGCAGCATTAAACAGCGTCTTAGAAAACTCTAATGTAATCTTCATCCTTAGAGACCTTTCTATTGATTACTTCACAAGTAGAGTACAACACAAAAAGTCATAAAAGATGACGAAGGATATTTAGAGAATCGAAAAAAGATAAAAAAAAACTCACTTAGCCTTTCAGCCAGGACCAGATCACCATCGTGAATCGTAGGGTGCATTGAAGGTCCGGAGCAAATCACTAGCTCACCCACATGACGAGCTATGGTATGAGCGACACAATAAAAGACGCCTGCGCCCGCAAAATATCGTAGAACCTTATTTTTTCCGAAAATCCGATTCACTCGCATCTGAACAATGGAACATAAAAACAAGCTTCCACTAAGCTACAACAAAAGAATTCACGAGGAAGGGGTTGGGCAATGATAACCTCACGGCCACATAAAAGCATGGAATAAAAATTATACTAAACCTTGGTAGAATCACTCGAAAAAAGGAAAAAATACGACTTCAATGTTTCAGTGCTGTACAATTTTCTTCAAGGTGGACCATTTATGATGCCCAACGTTTCGACATCCTACGTTCTTAAGGAACGAAAGCGCTTCGGGAATTTGGAAGGCTACCTGTCTCGCATGAGGGAGACCAACTCTTGAACACTAGCAGCTCAGACCGAAAAACTTCCAAATTGATATAATTCCAATAAGTCACTCAAGTCAATCCCAACACCGACCAATTGCTCAACTTCAGAGGCGATAGAGCAAGGGAACTGTTCGATTAACCATGACCCATTAACAGTATAGCAACGTGACAGTATCAGTTCCCACGCTCAGAGTTGGTTGTAAGGCAGGAGTTCACCAGCTTTGTTCATGTACTCGCTCTTGTTGTTCATGTTGTGATTTCGGTGCTTTACCCAGAAAGCCTGAAGTTTCTGGCACCATGCTGTACTTGTAAACCAAAATCGAGCTTTCGATAGATCGCTTAACAGCTTTCAGAGCTGCTTAACGTGCAATATTACGAAGTGGGACAAAACGGCTTTGGAGGAGTGCACCGGGAACAAGAAGCGAGAGGAGTTTAGAAGGGCCCTCTAAATAGCTAATCCTAAGGAATATACAGCGCGATAGCATGACACACGAAGTAGACAAGGCCTTTTTCAGGTGGAACTCAAAATAAGTTCTATCTTCAATAACCATGTATTAGATCGCAGTTAACCCTTTGACGACAATGGCACCCACCGGTGGGTGCCACTATAACTGGCGCATGAGACAATGGCACCCAATTTTGATGCAACCATACTTTCTTGTTTCTTACCAATTGCTGAATTCAGTGAGCCAGTGGAAGAACTTCCGCCTGGGACAGTGCCACCCACGGGTAAGTGCCAGTCGCGCGCGAAACGAAGGGAACGTGGTCCTATATGCGCGTCGAAATCCGCATTGTCGTCAAAAAGTGAAACAGCAGTGTTTAGAAAGAGCGGATCCAGATAATCGCGTCCTTTTGGTCAACAGAAAGAAAGGTTAACGTCGAACTTGTAGCCACCATGACCTTCTCTTTGGTACAAAAGAAAAGGTCATGGTGGTTGCAAGTTCGACGTTAAATACACGATTTTGGCATGCCAAAACAGTATTGGTGCCAGGAAAACCTCCGCGGCTTTCTGGATAAAATACCGAAATCCAACCATGAATAACAAGAAGGAGGGCACCGATATAGCTGGTCACTTTACCTATGGGTGAGTTTTGAAAGTGGGAACTGATACGTGTCACGCCACGTGGATCATGGCTGACCGGGCCGTCTCGCTTGCTCCATCGTCTGTGAAGATCCGCAACGGTTCGGTATTGGTGGAGCTGACGTGAGTGACTGGTTGGAATTCCTATTTGTTTGTAATTTCATCGGTCCGAGTTGTTACTACTTAGAAAGTGGTCTTCGTCAGCGTGATGGATAGTCCTGAAGCGCTTTCAGGCCTTTGAGAACGACAAATTTTTCCTAGATATAGGACCAACAACTTATCCACCATTGAAAAACTGTAAGTGAGTGTAAAATAAAAGCACAGAGCATCGAATACATGAAGTTCAAACGCTCAGGTTTCAAGGAAGGCGAAAATGAAGAAGAAATAGCCTACCCGATAATCGTACGCAGGAAAAAAGGAATGTAGCATTCCTCATAGAAGGCGACTTACCATTTCGAATGATATAGATTTCAGAGGGATGGGAGGCAACTGCAGAGAATACCAAATACTCGGTTATCACTGTTTACTTAGATGTATGGAGTGTGACATATACGAAAAGAATTCGCAAATAAGGTTCCGAGGGGTCGGTTAAATTGACAGCGATTATGTTCAATTCGAGCGGACCGGCCACTGCGTGACCACCATTCAACCATACCATATATACATTTGTAATGAGTTCATGTAAAATATCGCCAAAGAACTCCACAAAGGCAGGCTCTATTCGCGATTGCACTCTGAACGGAAGGAAATGACGTGCAAGGAAAGATGTTGGGAGGCGATTTCAGTCACACTCCCATCTAGGAACCTAGTCACTCATCTCTCCTATATCACCAGATAGGAGAGAGGCTTTTGGAAAACGGAAAACAACGAACCGAACCCGAGTGGACATCCAGAAGGCATTACGTAAGGGCAGTGACAAATCACCGTTGCAGAGATCCCAGCATCGTTTCTTAAAAATGGAAAGAATGGCATATAGCGGAAAAGACATATGTGTAGCAGCTCGACCCCCAAATATTTCCACAATTTTTATACAAAACTTAGACCATATTGATGAAATTCATTGTAAAATGAAGGTATGGCTAAGGGCTCAGCTTGTAAGGAGCATAAAAACAATTTGGACTATGAATAATCAGAAGAAAAACCGAAATATATTAAGCACTGCCATACTAGTAAAGATGCCCATGAGGGGTAGGGAGCAAGCAAGAAATAGGAGGTAACTTTTGACATTACCAATAAAGCTTTAAAGGAAATCGATTGTCGTAAGCACATTACGGAAGCATTAAGCAACTTCAAAGTATTAAGTGAGAAAAACATTTGAATTCTTGAATGATGGAAAGGAAATTCTGTTGCGTATGTAAGTAATAAATCCTGAACAAAACACTTTCCTAAGAAATCTGAAAACCTGCTTTCAAACCGAAAGATATCGATAGAACGGGATATAGTTCGACAGGGACAATTCCCAGATGTGAAAGAACTTCTAAGACATCGGACTTTTATGAATTTTATAAGAAAAACCTTCTACTCGCGGACAACAGAGAAAATACTCGCCACATAGCTAGACACGTCACGAAGTATTGTCCATTACCAGCTGGAGACATGGCAAGTCGTCCGCGACGTCGCGTGCGGCAACATGAGACCAATTCAGGCAGTCGCAGTTGGCAGAGAGGATGGCCATTCAGCACGAGGTTCGGTCAAAAAGGAATCACGTAGTAATGAGGATAAGGACCCTAGGTTCTGACGCATGGGCTGGGCTAACTCCGAGCAGCTCGACCGCCTATGCCAGTGTGGACCATCACTATTTATGGTTTTTTGCCAATGCATAAAAAATCAAGCGATAGAATCGTACTCGGTTGGGTAGGCTGATGGTAATACCGTAGTTCTGAAAGAAGAACTGCAGGAACGACATATTTATCCTGCTAAGACTGTAGGAAGGCAGGTAGAGGTGGCTGCCAAAGAGATCCGTATGGAAATCATAGATGAAGTTTTTCGTTGCCCTTCCAGAAGGCTGCCGTAACTGCTCCGTCAGGAGGACGAGGGACGAAGGGAGATTATTTTGGTCTTGTAATTGTCGAAACTTGGTCGGGCATTGGTAATGCCTTTCTGTCTTTCAGATTTCCCCACCCTCCCCCTGCAAAGCTCCGCAAGTTCGGACGTCAGTTGATGAGTGCTAATTCGTAAGATTACGATTTCCAAATAACAGTCCTTTTCGTAAAATTATCGGGATAGGTTAAGGGTCTTACTGTTAACCCGATTTTTCCATTTCATTGGAAACGGGCTCTTTGAGACACCTTTAAGACAGGCTCAAAATCATTCACCACTGGGAAAAATGTCTGGGAAATGTGTCGCTCGCCATTGGTCAATCCTACCCTGCGATATGCCATACCCTAGAACCATGAAGTCTTCGGCGTTGATACATCCCGTTCTGGGATGCGCCCCGCAATCGACTTCCATTAAGAATCGCCGTAGCATTTCGAATGCGTATGCAGTTTATGAAATGGCTTACGGTGGTCAGCTTGAGTCAAAATCAGTGTTTTTATCCTCCCCAACGAGACCGGTACCAACTAACCGACCCCGAAGTGGTAGAACCCTTCGAGGTATGAAGCAATTCTTTATTAGTTACTCGACGATAACCTACTCGCTCAGGATCCCCTTCCCGTTCAACAACACCCATTGACCCGAACAGGAGCGTTAAGAGAAAAATCCCGTGCTCGGGTAGGAACATCTGGTACTTCTTATGGAGGCACTGCTACAATGCAATTACTGTGATTCCCGGTCTCCTAAACTCCCACACCAAACCAACCGGAAACCGCGTGTTTTTCCACTATAGTGCATGTGGGGACATAATGACTAGTCTTGCTTTAATTTGGACTTAGAAGGTAAAAAAGGCCTGAGCCGTCCATCGTAGAGCATCGTCCGCGCAGCACCGACACCGCGAAACTCGACGACATCGCGCGCGGTGCCGCTGGCGACAGCCCCGACGCTTTCGAAGTTTCGCCAACTTTCGTATTGATCTGTTTGTGTGTGGTTTTCTATATGTTTTTTCAATAATTCTTCTTTAATCGCCAAAGAATCCTCCGCACTCTAGTTTTGGCTGGAAAGGCGCCTTGAATAGTGCTCACCATTGAAATCGTAGAACCCTGAAACCCATTCGAGGCAAATTTATACAAAACCCTGTTTGACCGACGGTAATGCGACAAAGCCCGGTTTTTTTTATTACCACAATCGAATGGATTCAAGAATTCAAAACAAGAGTATTTCTTTCACATTTTTTCTATCACATTTGAAGGAAGTGCCTATTTATGAAGTGAACGGAAAGCTTTCATTTGGCTAATGACTTCCTATTTGAGTAACTAATCAGTTGCTCCTTTTTCCATTTGGCTTCAAAGGTTTTACGATGTTTGAGCGACTTTTCTAAGTGAAACCTTTATAATTAGTACAAAATCTTCTTATGTTTTCCCCATAAATTGGAGACTGCTAGAACTTTCCAAGAACTAACTCAATATGACTTTATTATTCATCTATTTCATCCATCTGTCCAACTTATGGGAAAATTACAAGTGGCTGCTTAGTTTTTCACCCCATTTTACATCCCATAACTACTGCAGGGCTTATATTTTGAAAATCGAAAGCCTTTTTCGTAATTTTGGTAGTTACTTTAGGCCCACATGATTTTTTTTACCGGCACATCCGTTGCAACGAGTTTTTTGCTTACTACAAGCTCTCGACTTCGAAAAAAAGTTCCAAAATGTTTCATAACCAAGGTTTTCAGATGTCTTTTCGTGGTAACTACCAGTCGCGATTCGTCTCAGCTTCGTCCAGTGGCTCGGCAACTTCAAACGTTCGTGATGACCGAAGCTGGTCTTCAACAAGTCAGCATTTCCTGCTTTCAGTTTTCCACAAGCTGCCCTACTTATCGCTTGCATTCCTCAGCATTTGTAGTGTCATGTTCAGGTAGCATGAATTGTGTGCCACCTCCAGAGTCCTTGACAACATCCACCACTGGACCAGCACTGGTTCCCGGCACATTCATGTCTATTCGTGAAAGAGAAAAGAAAAAAGAGGAAGAGGTGTGTTTATTCAGTTTATGGGTGACCTCACTAATTTTTCAAGTGTTCATTGATATTTCTCCTTATAACGCTTGTTTATTTCCCCAAAACTTCATCTATGAATTTTGTCTGCACCATATTGTAACAAGCTAGCTTCATATCGTCCCTTACTTCCAATGCAAAAGGGTTATCACTGATATTTAGCATCAGAGGTGCCAGTAGTGCCAGTGATTATGGCTTTGCATAGGATGTTTTCTTCTCTTGTATGTCTTTCTACTGGCCGATTTAGTTCAGGGGCAGAAGTTCTGCGCTGTAGTTAGTCTTCCCCTTGAAATTGTAAGACTCTAGTTTGATAAAATTCATTCTAACCTTTGGCGAAGCTTGCAGTCCAGATTTCACTTGTGCTTTGTGAGCAATAATCGATTGCTGCTCAAATTAGGCCAGTGAGAAGCAGTTGTGTCTTTCCGCAGCCAATGAAAAATGAGTGTAGAGTGGGGATTCTTGGACACCGAAAACTCTTGCTACTCTTTATATATTACTTTCTAGCCTTCAAATTTCGATTGTTCAATCTGCTTCAATTGGAATATTTACATTCATGTTTCAGTATGCGAACTTAATGTACTATGGAGCCAAGACCGAAAAGGATGCCAGGAAAAAGCGTATCTACGACGATGAGTTGGTTGATGCTCTCGTTGATTTGTTGCTTAAAATTCCGCGTATCTCGCTCAGAGCTAAGCTCTCTCTTACGTAACGAGATGCATTTCAGATGACTATGCCCTCCAGTTCCATATGTTAACCTACCTATATTAGATACCTCGAGGGCGAGGATTCAGATGACGAAAAGTCGTCTTCGTCACGCGAACGTCGCCGTCGCTGGGATGACGATGGTAGTCACCGCCGAGATCGAGATCGAGACCGAGATCACCATAGTAAGAGCAGTCGCAAAAGCAAAGAGGAAGTAAAGAAAGCAGTCCCAGAAGAGGAAGAAGAAGACGAACTCGATGCCTTTATGGCAGAGATTAACGCACAGGTTTGAATTATTATTATTCTGCGCACATGTCTTCATTTGGTAACTTTCTCATATTGAAAAAAGAGAATTTTTTGTTACAGGCTTCGAAGGACAAAGCAATAGCTGTGCAAAAGGAAAAGGATCGAGCCAGTGGTAAAGATACGGACGCCGACAAAAAGGGCATTGGCAGAGCTGACATCGACGAGGAAGATATGCAAGAGTCATACTTCAAGTAAGTGTCATTTTATTCAACCATTTTTCCCATGTTTAAAATTACGCTGCATTTTTCTCAAGTAATTAGTTTCTCACTTCAGCTATCTCGAAGAGCATAAAGAGAAGATTGCTAATGAAGAGGAAGAATACGAGTATGATGAAGATGGGAATGTCATTTGGACTTGGAAGAAGGTGATTTTGATGTTCATCTGTGGTTACCAAAGAAAAATTTGCCTCTCTTCTAGGTTATCGATCCGTTGCCCGCTATCGACCACTCAGCAATCAACTATCCTTCATTCAATAAGAATTTCTACGAAGAGCATGAGGAGATCAAGTAAGTCTCGTTGCATGCCTTGGGGCTCGAAAAGATGCACCACCCTCATTTTTTGAGTAGTTTTTCGGTTGGCCTTTTTTACCCTTTTCTAACATTTTGTTTTTTCGTTTTAATGGATGAAGGACTTATTGCGCTCCATCTTACATCTTTTGCTACTCACTGTTGTGCTATCTGCAAGAGGTGCTGTTTTCAACTGTACCCTATCTCGTACCCCGAACTTTTCTTAGCACGTCACCTTCATTTTTCAAGACAAACAATTGTGCTTGAGTGCGGTCTTCGCCATTTCTTTTGCTTGCTCAAGAGTGATTATATAAATGAAATGGCTGCCCATAACGACTACTAGTTTGACCAACCTAGTTATGAGAAATTGCAGTTGTCAAGCGTCAGCATAAAATAGCAAAGGATAAGGTGTAGTATGGTCGGCGTTCATCGAATTTATGGGTTTTTGCTCTACAAATAAGAGCCAAAAGAAGGATGTACTCATTCAAATGGGTATAACTATGATATTAGAATCTGTGATTGATATGGCTTTGTAGGTTACACGTTCGCCTATTCAAAACCAGTAGTTCTATGAATATAGTATTCATGGATTCAGATGACTGATCAAGTGATTTTAGAAAACTCAACCATGTGGAGGTAACGCGGCTACGTGAAAAGTTGGGTTTACGAGTTGGTGGTTTCCATCCACCGAAGCCTGTATGCTCATTTGCACACTTTGGCTTTGATAAACCGCTCATGGATTCGATCAGAAAGAGCGAGTACGAGAAGCCAACTCCTATTCAAGCTATGGTATGCTATTATGGTCTTAATTTTTCTTATATACCGTGCCATGGAGGGGTTCATGGCACAGTCTTTACTACGAGTACTTTAACCAAGCAGTAAGTGAGCTCAAATGAATAAACCATTTTTACAGGCAATACCAGCTGCACTGAGTGGACGTGATGTACTCGGCATTGCGAAGACTGGAAGTGGTAAAACTGCAGCTTATTTATGGCCTGCAATCGTACATATTATGGATCAGCCAGATCTCGATGTTGGTGATGGTCCAATCGCTTTGATAGTTGTACCTACTCGAGAATTAGCTATACAGGTACGACAATTTTTCCACTACGGGTGTTCTGAAAAAAAAACTCCATTCTAATTGATAGCCTACATTCTCCCATTTGCTCTCAAAATGTTGTGCAGGTACACTGATTTTGGTATTTTCTAGGTGTACCAGGAAGCGAAGCGTTTCTGTAAAGTCTACAACATCAACGTGATATGTGCTTATGGAGGAGGAAGTAAATGGGAACAATCCAACGAACTTAAGAACGAAGGAGCTGAATTGGTTGTGTGCACGCCGGTGAGTTTTTCGTTGTGAACTTTGAGTTGTTCTCTTAAGGGTCGACCAATGTCAATCCTTATTCATTTAAGGGACGAATAATAGACCTGGTAAAAGTTGAGGCAACGAATTTCTCGCGCACAACGTTTTTGGTGTTCGATGAGGCTGACCGAATGTTTGATATGGGCTTCGGTAAAAGCTTTTTCTTCTCGCTTCAGTTTTTGTGAGACTTTACAGCAGTCAATCCGTTTCATGGATTAAGCTTACTTCAGAAGCCCAAGTGAAGTCCATTTCCGACCATATCCGTCCTGATCGCCAGTGTCTCATGTTCAGTGCAACCTTCAAGCATAAGGTGAAGATTGGAGAAGCAAAAGCTCACTTTTGTATGAAGTGCTACTTTTAAGATTGGTTGTACAAGCTGTCAAAATCCCATCACTCCTGAATATTAAACTGTTGCGTTCCTCTTATGAGATAAAGTTCTGCTTTCTAGGTAGAGCGGTTGGCAAGAGACGCTTTGTGTGACCCTGTACGAATTGTTCAAGGAGAAGTTGGCGAGGTGTGATTTTCTCACGATTTGCCATCACTCTGCATGAAGCTTGAAAACAATTTGGAAATGCTGAATCGTAAATCCTCAACACAACCAATTATTCTAGGCTAACGCTGATGTTGTACAAACAGTGGAGGTTTTGCCACGACAGGACACGAAGTGGGTATGGCTTACGCAGAGGCTTGTAAATTTTGGAACAAGTAAGTTCGGTTTTGATAAGGTTGAAAGAGGGCCGAAGGTAGATTCCGCGAAATACGAGGATTTCTTTTCGACGTTTTATTCAGCGAGATTTTTTTTCTAGTGGGCAAAGTACTCATCTTTGTGACGAAGAAAATCAATGCTGAAGATCTCGCGAAGAAGCTCAGGGTATGACGAACCATTAATAGCTTCCTGAAAAGCCAGTTCTTACTTGATTCAGGCCCGTGACTTTGAATTGGTGCTTCTACATGGTGATATGCTGCAGCACGAACGCAATGAACACCTTCAAGCATTCCGGAAGAAAGTGAATATCATGGTGGCCACAGATGTTGCAGGTTCGCTACTCACGTATTTTTTCGAATCGATTGAGCTATATAAACAGCAGCTTGAAGCTGAGGCCACACGCTACGTTGTGCTCTTTATTTCCGGCCATTATCTCAATAAAACTGAGAGAAGGGACTAATAGTGGAGTTCGAATGTCAATCCTTGATGGGAATAAGAGATGCAAGCATTGAAACTTATTATGAATACAGTCTTATTTTAGTCCCCTTGTAATTTTAGGGTTGTGGAAGTTCGTTGACATTAAAGGGTAGCCTTGCGCTGTGCAATGATCCCCAATTTTGTTTCAGTGACAGAACTGTATAGTATATACAATTTACAATTATTTAGCCCGCGGTCTTGATATCCCAGAGATTCGCACGGTTGTGAATTATGATCTAGCACGGGATATCGACACTCATGTACATAGAGTGGGACGAACGGGTCGAGCAGGTTATTTTTGTTTACCTTTCTGTATATTTGTTACAAGGTGGTTATGAGTGATTTTCACCGAGAAACAATTTCCGTATTATTCTAGGACAGAAAGGATATGCGTACACTCTTATTACTGATAAAGACATGGAGATGGCTGGTCATTTGGTTAGGAATTTAGAAAGTGTCAACCAAGAAGTAGGTTTTCAGTTTCAAGTACTACAGAAAATACTGTTCATGAACATTCTTACGCGACTTGTTGCAGGTTCCTGAGGCTCTTTTCTCTCTTGCGATGAAATCAGCTTGGTTTCGATCACAGCGTGGTGGAGGAAATGCTGCTAAGCCTCACGCGCGACTCGGTCTTGGCTATAAACCAAAAACTCGACCAGCTCGTGGTAGTGGAGGTCGGTTAAGGCCTGCAGGCAAGGTTGTACTGAAGGATTGATTTTTATCCTTTTCCAGGCGCTCAACTTGATCCTCTCAAAGAACAAAAACCGCGTGGGGCCACTAATCTCACAGTGCGCGACGCAATAAGGGCTGCAACAAGCAATCAGTGAGTCCCTCCTTCTTGAAAAAAAGGTTTCTCCTCCTCTTCTCCCTTCCTTTTTTCTGTTCTTGTCTCTTTCCACTTAGTTTGCTTTTTTCAGAGGGCCTGCAGCTGCAGCACCAAATGATAGGCTTCAAGCTATGAAAAACGCTTTTAAGGTTTGTTATTTTAGATTATTGGTCATCATATTCAGCACGAGAGATAAACGAAAAGGGAACTTGTGATGTTCCTTGAACCAACTAGCAGTATTCTTCTTTTTTGGCCGTCTTGGCTGCTTGCGGTTGTTATTTGTACCATTTTTCGTCAATTTTGTTCAATTTTACCTTTCAGCAGTCTTTTGCGGCTACGTTCAAGCCATCTGAACTGGAGACTTCTAAAATCAAGCCGCAAGTGAGGAAATTACATTACGGCATTTATTTTTTCGCTTAGAAACGTTTTCAACGTTTAGATAGTTTCGGACCCTCGTCCAGAATGGAAGCGTAAGATTGATGAAATCAACGCCAAAATTCAAGCAGAGGCCCTTCAGTCGCAAGGGGCACAACCATCTGCTGCCCAGCCAGCAAGCAGTGATGACGGTTCGTCTTCGAAAAAGAAAAGCAGGTGGCAATAGCCGTTTGTTAAGGTCAGGAATTGTCTCTATTGTCTTAATTCACTATTTCTATGTTTTTTTGTGGATCGTTTGAATTTTGCGGATTCTCCCCTGTTTTGTTTGTTTTTACAACAGAGCATCTACACTCCGTCCGTCAGCAATTATCACCACATTTGTGGTTATCAAGTCGTTGTGGTCGAACTCCACCAACTCCGGCTTTACTGCCGACATGGTCACAGCTGTCTTCATAGAAAACATAGATGGCTTTTTGTTGAGTAGTGATTACAAGTCGGAGCTCTCCTATATGAATCTGCTGGAAGTTTGCAAAAATGTTTGCAAAACCCGAACCACCCGCGGTAGATGGGGCGTGTGTTGGTGTTCCCGTTCTTACCGCCAATGTTTTGCCTGCCTCTTCCCTCAAATGGATTCTCGGTGTTGCAGGAGGATGTGCGTGCTTGTCTTCAAGAGTGTTCCGATCGCTGCATGCCGTGCTTGATGTTGATGTCGATGTCGATTTCAGTGCTATGCTTCGGACTGTATTTCATGTAACCTGTTTGGCTATTTTTCAGTTGTTCATTTGTTGAAGTGTTATTATTTTACTGCAAATTATTAAGCTTTTTGGGATCTCCTCACACCAATGTTTCGTTATAGATAGTGTTGTATAAATCGTTAGTTCAGGTTCAGTGCTTGAATAGAGTTCCCTATACTAGGTTACAGCTGGTAATCATTCAGACTCTACAATGATAGAGATAACAGCGGTTAACGGTAACGCATAATATACCATGAGCAAGAAAGATTCAACCCGTGCTCGATTTCTTACTACTATTACCTAAAAAGTTGAATTAATGTATGTTAATTTTACGCTGTGCAGAAACCGTTTTAATCTTTCAACCTCTTTCGACAGAGGCGTCACTATTGGAGACTTGTTCGCCATACATAATGAATTCCTCCGAACCCTAGGACACCTTAAGTTCGAAAATAAATTTTATTTTACACTCAAACCGAGAAGTTTCAGCAAATTTTGTTCAGAATCTCTATTGCTGCAGTTCATTTCTCGTTCATCAGAACACATAATCATTCCGTTTTTTGGTCTTCTCTTGATGTAATAATAGAGTATGCCTTCACATCCTGATTTTCTGGTACCACTCATCTTTTCCCTATTCTCAGATGTTTGTTGTAGCAGGGAAGTAACTTATCTGACAAAAGAGTATAGGGAATATTTACCAGTACAGTGCAAATAACGGGAAATTGCAGAATAGCCCAGGTTTGATGGCAACTGATGTGATATGCCAGCTTAACATAACGAATGACAAACGACGAATATTGTCAGCGATTGTGACTTTTCCCGACATTATGTATTTTTTAGTTCTGCACCATTCCATCTTGGATCCATGGGAATCTCGGTACAATTCATGACGAGCCTTCTAATTGTGGAAAACTACCTTTTATTGGTATTATATTATACGAAATCAAAGGCCATAAAAACAAATTTGGGCATGAATTCATTCGTGTGAAATGCCTATGAATTACGCCAGAATTTTTCTCTGTTCGAAACGAAAATTGAGCATACCTAACGGCCTTAGAGTGCCATCAGCATGTATTAGCGAGAAGGAAGTGCAGCCATGCAGGATTCAGGCCTCTTGTGTGATCAGTTGTTTAAAGGCACAGGTAGTCCTGGATCGCCTGTATGTCAGCCTTTGTACAACGCCTTGTGTCATATGCGAAATCCGTTAGGAAGGAGACTGTATGACATCCGGTTCTGTGCAATTAGTATCGTGCTATCACAGTCAAAAGGAGTATGCTGGGGAAGCAGGTAGACTTCTTCAAATTCATCTAAAAGAGCACCTGGAGGTTCTCCTCTAGGAGAGCATAGGGACAACGTTATGGGAACATGTGCCTCAGGGTGACGAATGTCGACATTTGCTGAGAGTCGTTCTTGGACACTAAGAAACTTTTATGGATACTAAACAGCTATGATATGTGAATTCAGAGGCCATTGAACCAGAGATATTAAGGCTACTCACATCTTGGAGAACCTCTTGGTTGAGTTCTTTTCCGTTCAAGCAATATTCGAGAGCGCAGGAAACGTAACAGCCCAATAGAAAACCATGAATTCTTATTCAAGAATCCATAATATATAAAATCTGCGAATGTGGCTGACATATAACCAAGTTTTAGGCGTCAAGGAGATATAAATATCAAGGCGGAAAGCAAGCGCTCCATATTCACAACAGGCATTCAACATGGAACGTCTGCTTTTTGCTTTCGTCTTTATCGGAACTACTCTGGTATGTTCAATATGTTACCTTCTCTATGGTAAGGTCATGGGTATCGCTTCTTACGCTCTGAGGCACTGAATAGAAGACAACATCCAGAAGGAATTCTTTAAAGGCCTGCTCACCAGTGCCAGAACCCAAAGTGAAAGGGAAAGGAAACGATACCGTGTACGTTACTTTAGTCACTAACCATACCTACAATCCAGCGGGAGTCAGCACATTCTTGAGCGACTTTTCCCAAACAGAGGTCAGTATTGTATGTTTATTTCCAAGCATGTTTGAAAACTTTCGATTTTTCATAATTCATTTCAGATTCAACAATATTCTGCGTCGGTTGGAAACTTTTCAGATCTAAACTGTACCAACACGGACGGCTATTTCACGTGGACTTTCAAACTTACGGATGCTAACTGCTCTATTGTACTCATTAAGACTTGTTCTTCTTTTTTGTGTCGAGTAGACGACAGTAATCAGCCGTTGCTCCTTCACAAAAATAATGACCATTTTTTTAAGGTNTTTAAAGGCCTGCTCACCAGTGCCAGAACCCAAAGTGAAAGGGAAAGGAAACGATACCGTGTACGTTACTTTAGTCACTAACCATACCTACAATCCAGCGGGAGTCAGCACATTCTTGAGCGACTTTTCCCAAACAGAGGTCAGTATTGTATGTTTATTTCCAAGCATGTTTGAAAACTTTCGATTTTTCATAATTCATTTCAGATTCAACAATATTCTGCGTCGGTTGGAAACTTTTCAGATCTAAACTGTACCAACACGGACGGCTATTTCACGTGGACTTTCAAACTTACGGATGCTAACTGCTCTATTGTACTCATTAAGACTTGTTCTTCTTTTTTGGGTCGAGTAGACGACAGTAGTCAGCTGTTGCTCATTAACCATTTTTTAAGGTGAAGGCGTGGGTAAAGCAAATCGTAGCGAGCTCATCGTTCTACAAAGCTGGATATACTTCATGCGGAAGCGAACCAAAAACAGCGTACGTTACAGTAGTCCTAAAGGAAACCTACAGTCCATCGATAAGATTGGTCGTGAACAAAGCTAAATTAACAAGCGTCAGTATAGAGGTTCTTCTCTACCATCTTTGAGAATTTTCGATTTTTCAAAATTCGTTTCAGTTTCAACAAGATTTTGCGTCTCATGGACTTGGAGACCTTTCAGATGTGAACATTACCGACGTGGACGGCCATTTCGCCTGCACTTTCACAGTTTTTAACGCTAATTGCACAAAAGTATTGAGTCGTGTCCTCTACAACTTTTTTTGGGCCCAGTAGACCACACTAGTCATTTGCTGTTTGATTAACAAAGCAATGACCATTTTTTAAGGTGAATGCGTGGCTTAAGTGGGCACTGAACTACGATAAGAACAACTACATAAATGGAACAATTACATGCGTTCCTGCAGGGACATCAACATCGGCGAATGCGAACTTGATTGAAATAACAACACCACCACCAACAGCAGCAACACCAACACCATTAGTGATAGTTCCAGATGGTGCCCTTCCAGTCGCTCCAGTGGTTATACCATATCAGTTGGATTATGAAGAAACAGCAGAGCATGTAGAAGAGTCTGTGTCTTCATTTGAGAGCATGTCTGTCATGAGACGCTGATTTATTTTTGCTAATAAATAATTCAGCAAAAACTAATTATTATCAACGACCAGGTCAATTGTATTCTGATAGTTTTAGTAAGATCACTGGGAAAAAAAATCAAAATCAAAGCAGTCGAAACGATTTGTCAACAAATCGTTATGCGCATTGAATTCTAGAGCAGTTTCACTTAGACCATTATTGTTAAAGTCTAAAGTCTTTCGTGGTCTAACTCCAGTCTGAGGAATGTGCCCTCGCTTCGATTTTCATACAGAATCGTATGGTGTATTGAATGCGTATATGGCCTATACAATGACTTGCGGTAGCCAGCCGGTGTAGAAGACAATGCTTTTATCCTTCCAGAGGAGCCTGGTATTAATTAACCAATCCCGGATGGATTAAAGACTTGATTGGCCTATGATATCTAAACGGGATTCAAACTCGTGACCATGCGCGTGTGATGGAGTGCCGCATGCCCACTACATGAACTCCGCCCAACATTATCTTGAAATAATATAATTAGGGTTGTTCCAAATTGTGCATTTCATCAGGAACTGAGTTTTGGACCTTACTGGGAAAATTTTGTTGGAAATGATAAAAAAGAATGGATTTTATGAGGAAATCACAAATTTTCTCTACAATTTCATGGCAACGCTTTGGCATAACACATTTCTTTGGAAATGAAAAAGTAGCAGTCACAATTCCTGGTTGCTGGCTCGCATAATATAATTTCTTAAATAAAATAAGTCCAGAAAGGTGCCATATTCCGGATTTTCCCTTGCGTTACACTAATTTAAGTAGGGAAAAGTGGTGTACACTATCACACGCATGATCTGGGGAGCAAACTCATACTGACACCCGTCCAAAACAACCAGGCCTTTCATCTCTCCGACTCTTTTTATTGGTACAAGGCTTGTACAGAAGGATGACGGTGTTGATTTGTACATCGGCTGGCCACCAAGGTTTGCACTCGAATCGCCGCTACATTTCTTTATGTAAGTCGAATGCGAGGCGCATCCAAAAAACAAGATCTCAATGAAAACAATAAGTACTCATTCAGAAAGCCACAGACGTTAGGCTTCGAGTCTATCTAATGAGTATGCTCGCAGTGCAGCTGTACTGCATGAAAGTGTGCTCTCAGAGTTCAACGACATGCATTATTTCAGCCGACCGACTGGCCGACTGACCGGCGGCGTTGCATGCCACGTGTTGACAGCGCAGGACAGATTGCGTTCAGGACTGCATGAGCCATATCGATCCAGCGTTGTCAACGCTTTCTATTTGAATTAAATATTTCCAACACACCGTAGTCTTAAAGAGGACTGTGTATAGATTCATGGTCGATGGAAACGATGACCGAAGGGCTCCATGTAACCATAGAAGCACCGCCGACTAATAGGACAGCTAGCCAGCATGAATTTCTCGAAGTCTTACAGGACTGATGTTTTGTCCAGCTCTTCGAAAAAAACGGTTAGTTCCTTAAAGACAAGTTCACGATGATTCTTGGTCATCTTGTTGGAAGTCTGATGGACTCGCAGCTAAGTCTACAACACGAAAAAACGCCGGGCGAGTTGTCCGCGACA